GGTGCGCGGCCTTTGTTTGGTGGTGGCTTTCGCCCTCTTGCTGCTGTACGCGGAGAAAAAGTAGAAATGAGCTGTCTCTGGTATGGATTGGGTGAAGTGCATCGTGTGTGAGTGAAGGGCTTTGTGAGTGCTGGTGTATTTCTTTATCTATTTGTCGAATCCATCTCATTGGGCCGATTGAATGGAAACACGTACATATATCATGATGTCTTGGCGGTTGTTTACCTTGGAGTATTGCCACGACATCGTAAACAATAAAAGAGGATGTACTTTTTGTTGTAGGGTTGATATTTCACAAATTTCAAGATATCGCAAAATCTCGATAAGTATATTGTGCGTCAGACGAAAGACTGCTGCCATTTCTTGCTTTTTCGAAGCCATCACTCACCATGTACTATGTCAACCATGTGGAAGAATGTTCTTTTATTCCATTCTAAAACACTCCAACACCATCACTCACCGTGCATCATTTGTGTTCGATGGACGCAATCGTGAACAAAGCTCACTTTTCAACTCGATAGGTCATGATGACTCCGTCGCCTACCCTCGTGATGGCCCCTGCTGTCACGTGGAATGGTGCGGCCTCTAACGCTACGTCGACGAGCAGCCGCGTCGATTTGTACTTTGGCGCTCTTCGCGGCACCTCTGAAGACCGTGTGTGCGACTTGGTCGCAGCGTCGTACAAGGAAGACCCGCTGCACACGCTCAAGATTGTGGCGTACCTTCGCGACTGCCGCGGCGGAAAGGGGGAGCGCACCGTCGCTCGGTTTGCTCTCAAGTGGCTGGCCATTCACCAGCCAGTCGAACTCATGCACAACTTAAAGCACTACGTTGCTGAATATGGTCGTTTCGACGACCTCTTGGCGCTCATGGGGACGCCAGTCGAAGCTGCGGCCTTGGACGTATTTGGCAACCAACTTCGAGAAGACCTTGCCGCATTGGGTCGCGGCGAGCCGGTCAGTCTCTGCGCCAAGTGGGTTCCATCCGAGAAGAAAGCCAGCGACAAGACCTCTCGCGTGACGAGCAAACTCGCCAAGAAAATGGGCCTCACATGCGCCTCACTGCGCAAGACGTACTTATCTCCTCTGCGGGCGTCGCTGCAGCTCCTCGAGCGATTCATGTGCGCCAAGGACTGGGACGCGATCGATCTGAACAAAGTACCGAGCGTCGCCATGCACATTCACGGCAAACCCAAACATGCATTCGAGCGGCATCTGAGCGACAAGTTCTCCGAGTGGAAGGCGGGCCTGGCGACGGGCAAGTCCAAAGTGAATGCGTCCGTGCTGTTTCCGCACCAAGTGGTCGAACAGTACTACAGAAATCGTGAGCTAGAGGCCGACCCCCTCGTGGAAGCACAGTGGCAAGTCATGCTGCAGCAAGGACGGGACCTCGGGACTCTGTCTCGGACGCTCGTCATGTCGGACGTGTCGGGGTCCATGGAAGGGTTGCCCATGCTGGTCTCGATTGCGCTGGGGCTGCTCATCTCTGAAGTTGCCGAGGGCGAGTTCAAGGGGCTCGTCCTCACGTTCGAAACGACTCCGCAGTTCCACGTCGTGGAAGGCAGCAACTTGAAAGAGCGTGTGGACAGCTTGGCGGGGGCGCCGTGGGGTGGCTCGACCAACTTCATGGCGGCGCTACGGCTCATCCTGGACACGGCGATGGCCAAGGCGGTTGCCCGCGACTCGATGCCCGCGAGACTCATCGTTGTGTCCGACATGCAGTTCGACCAGGCGGACCGCGCGTTTGAAACCAACTTCAAGGCGCTCCAGCGATTGTACAGCGAGGCCGGGTTCGACGTGCCCCACCTCGTGTTTTGGAACGTCCAGGGGGCCATCACCGACACCCCCGCGGTCGCATCCGACGTCAACGTGTCGCTCCTGTCGGGGTTTTCGCCAAGTGTGCTGAAGGCAGCGCTGACGGGGGAGGCGGTCACGCCCGCACACACCATGATGAACGCTATCTTGGACGCTCGCTACGATCTCATCCGACTGCCTTCGCACGACGCCGACGAGCCCGACGTCGAGCTCGTCTAAGTCGGTCCATAATTTATTCCATTGATGTACATCACTGTCGTTGCCGTCAAGATGCACCTGGCATTCGCTCGTCGTCGCCGTGGGCAAGTCGGTTCCATTACTATTCAGAACACGCGCTGGTGACCGAGATTTGTTGAGTATATTTCAAACACTTTGAGCTTCCTGGACTGGCTGCAGTTGCGCAAAGCACATGACCAATGCCGGTGGATACGGTTTGTATTGGAAGCTGTCCTTGCCCCCAAGATATCCTGAGGACGACCGGATCGACCACAGCACTTGGAGTTCACCTGGTGACTCAGCGACAGGGAGAATCAAGTTCAATCTCCCGGCGATCCCGTCGAGCGTTTATTCCATCCAAGAGGTACTGTGAGGTTTCGCAGGTATTGTATTCATGTCGAGCTGTGTGAAGGCACTACGTCAAGCCATGGCGCAGAGTCGGCTTCCGACCGGTAAGCTGGCTACGATGGTCTTTGCAACGCCTCAATGGCTCGTTGGCACTCACCAGCTAAACCCAGACTCAGTCAAGATGGTGTTCGTGTTGGCCGCTGCTCCTTTCGCCGCAGTGTTCGCACGTCCCGAAAGTTTCACCGTTATCCGGTCGTCGATCGATTATCCGGATATCCGCCCAATTCGAACACTTTCACCGCACCTGGCGTCCGATCAACCGTGTAAACATGGCGGACTCTGGCGGTGAGAGCTCCAGTAGCGGCAGCTCGTCGGACAACCTTCTCGTGCGAAAGCAGCGGCTTCTCGGTTCGACCGTGAAAAAGCAGATGATGCTGACACCAGACGCTATATGCGATCGTTGCGAAAGCTTGCTCGAGCCGGGTGGCGTAAGTTTCGCGTGCACGGGTGCGTGCTTTCGCAAGTTCCACACCACGTGTTGTCCGAACGAGATGCAGTCATCGTCGTGGCAATGCGTTGAGTGTCGGACAAACTCGCACCATTGCTTTGTGTGCCAGGACTCTGTTGAGGGGCGAAACCAGCATAGCGAACCGATCGTACAGTGCCGTGCTGCCGGGTGCGGCAAGTTCTACCACGTTTCGTGTGTGACGCGACTGCCTTTGACCCGTGTCCTTGAAGGCGATTTTGCGTTCATTTGTCCCTTGCATACGTGCCATCAATGCGAAGGCCAGAGCAGCGGCGCGACCGATCAAGCTATTCGATGCACGCGGTGTCCGCGGGCATACCACGCCACGTGCTTTCCGCCATCAGGTCGGTCCCTAGACACTCGACCCCCTTCAAAGTTCACAATTTTTTAGGCTTCAAGCGTTTATGTTCCACTCGCGGCCTGTGTCATGCCCATCTGAGCGCCACCGATCGACCAGCGGCGCTGTCATCCGTGGTGGACGACGACAAACGGGCCAAAAAAGAACACAAAAAGGACAAACGCGACAAGAAAAAGAAGAAAAAGAAAGACAAAAAGCAGAAAAAGGACAAAAAGTCAACCTCGGTCGACGACGCCCCAGGCAACACTGACCGCTCAACAGCGCCCCCATCCATTTCCGGTCTGGACTCGCTGCTCAATCCGACACAACCAGGATCCCTTCATCAGTCCGTCTTGTCCATGCCGTCGGTATTGAATGTCCCGACCGCACCCCTCCTTCTATCCCCTTTATCGACAACTTCGTCATCCACCATGCCGCTCTTTCGTCCGCTGCAAGAGCGAGCAAAGTCGGCGGTTGCATTGGGCAACCTCAAACCACCACCACCCGCCATGGAGCCTGTTCAAGCGTCCGTAAAACCCCCTTCGCCGCCACCGCCACCTGTAGAGCAGTCCACTCCGTTACCCCTCAACATTACGATTCCAACAGCGTCCGTTCCAGATACCGATGACGCCAAGGCGCTGAGTGCACGCAACAAGAAGAAGAAGAAAAGGAAACGAGTGCGCGCCGTCGTGGTGACGCCGACGGAGGAAGACGCCAAGTGGGTGCAATGCGACAAATGCAAAAAGTGGCGCACCGTGCCGGAAGAACTCGATCTTACAGCCATGTCCAACAAGGCATGGTACTGCCCCATGAACGACTGGGACGTGCGGTACGCGTCATGCGACGTTCCAGAAGAAGTCGTTGAACCGAAAGTGAAGAAAGCCAAGATAGACGACGACAACGACGACATGGAAGATTTTCCCGCGACCCCAAAAGCTATGGGGGGCACCGCCGCCCCAGCTGCGCTGGCGCAAGACACCGCGCAGTCACAGTCGTCAGCATCGGCGTCCATGTCTTTGGCATCCTCGACCTTCACCAAGTCGGAGCCAGAGGTCTGTCCGGAAGTATTCGCCTCGACAGGTTTCACAACGTCGTGTCGTAGAAAAAGGAAGTGAAATTGACCAAGAAGCAGCGCGCCAAGTTGAAAGCGAGTCAACCACGAGGACAAAAAGCAGCGTCTGCTGCAGGTGCAGTTGGTTCGCCCGGCGCAAAGGAAATTGAGTGGGTTCAGTGTGACGTCAAGTCGTGTGGCAAGTGGCGGGTCGTGCCGTCCTCCATCGACATTTCGTCGCTACCGATCAAGTGGTACTGCTCGCTCAACACGTGGGCGCCGTCGCTGGCCAACTGTTCCGTCGAGAATCCATCGGATGTCGAGTCGTTGTGGCAGAGCAAAGCTGTCAAGTCATCGCCCCCACCTACGAAACAAACGGCAGCAGCGGCGAATCGACAAGGCAAGAGTAGTCCACGAAACCAAAGCGTGCAGCTGCAAGGGTCCGTGCCCACCGTCGTCGACGTCGTGGCTACGTTGCCTTTGTCATCCGTGGACAGCGCGTCAGTCGACAGCCCCCTCGGCAAGGCCAAAAAGGTAGGTGCGGTTCATCCAAAACGAAATCTCTCAACTCAACAAACAGGTGAAAGCGCCCGAGTTGATGCCGGTCTTGGAATGGGCGCAGTGCGAAAAGTGCAACAAGTGGCGAAAACTCCCCGCCCACGTCAAGTCGGCCAACCTACCAGACAAATGGTATTGCTCCTTGAACCACTGGAACCCAGCGTACGACATGCACGCCATGAAATGCGACGTGCTCATGGCGGCCGGACATTGTAGAGTCGCGAGCTGCAGTGTCCCGGAAGAGACAGATCAAGAGCACGTGCCTGCGCGGGCTCCCATCCCAATTGGACCTCGTCCTAAGAGAGGCAAGCTGTGCTACCGGGAGCTTTTGTATGCAGGCAACGGCCAACTTCGCAAAGGTGCTCGATACAAAGTGGTGGCCAGCACAGTTTGACGGTGTGGGTTTGTAGCGTTTACGGAAGAGTCGTCCACGTTATCGTTTGAATACGAAGGCAAACTGTACCATCGCGACGACCAGTACCGCAATAGCTCCATGTACTTGGCGCCGTCCGCGTCGGGACCACCCAAACCTTCGGCGGACGAGGTACAGGATTGCACAAACGCCATCGACTCGACCGACAGCAGCGCCGGGTTGTCCCAACCAGAAGAAGACCATCTCAAGTATCTGCTGCACGGGATTCTGAAAGCCGACACCGAACAAGCGGGAAAAAGCATGCTCGATTTGGTGGCGGCTCTCCACAATGACAAAGCTGTGGTTCGACATCCTCCGGTCTATTACTCGTATGCGACGGTCGCCCGCGCTGTCCAAGCGATGGTGGCGTCGGGGGACATGGAAGAGTTTCGCGACGACCGCTTGGTGACGGTGACCGTTCCGATGCAAATCAGCTCGTATGCCAGTGCGTACTACGTGGCAGGCGAGAGCAACCACGAGAATCGGACGTGGAAGGAGCGGCACACGGGTCCGCACCTCCTGTATCGGCGCCGGATTCAGTACAAGAAACCCCTCAAGCTTGCCAAGCCGTGGAAGCAACAGGGATTTGCAGGGTGGGGGGCTTGACCCGATATCACGAGATAGACTAGACCGTGTTTGTGTTATCGATGGTGTGTACGCATCCACGAACGACGTCACCACATCGAGTTGAGCGCCTTCAACACGTCTGCCCGCCGTTTGGCGAGGCGGGCGTCGCGTTCAGCTGCGACGCTCTGATGCTTTTGCAGGACGCGCATGTAAATTGAATGCAAACTCTTGGCGGGGGGAGGCACGGCGGCATTCAAACTGCAGCTCACAGGCAATGCCGTGGACGGTGTCGTCGACCCTTCTCGCCCAAGAAGCAACGTTGCCGAGCCATGCACAGACGGCTGTCGCGTGCGAGCAAGGTGCGATGTTGGAGGGAGTCCAGCCTTCGATGGAGGGGACGGAGTCGGCTTTGAAGTCGCTGTCGGAGCAGCTGGGGTGCTGACCGGCGCGACCTTGTCCAAAAAGTTGCTGGGAGAACTCCAGGCCTAGGACGTCGATCACTGCGACCGAACAAAGGACGAAGACTCCTCGTACACTTCGAGGAAAGCACGTCGATAAGATCGACGTGGACGAGAACGAGTTTAGTTGAATAGTTCGCACGCTGTCGTCGGCAACGTGCTTGTCGTGAGTCGTTGGCACGTACACGACATCTCCGATCACAAAAGGGTGGACCCCCGACAACGAATCGAATGGAAAGTCAGGGCGTTGGTCATCCAAACTCAAGCTCCCAATGACGTCGCCGGTCCTGCAGTCTACAACTGTGAATGTGCCGTCGGCGTGCCCGAGAATTGTCTACTCACAGCGCCATCGTGAGAATGCCAAGAGGACGACGACGAACCAAAGGAACGTCCGCAAGGGTTGCCACGGAAGTGTAGGGTGGTGTGCCAGGCTCGCCAGTGCGAACCCGCACGAGCGACTTGTGCGACGCGTTGCCTCCACACGAAGGCCCATCGCCCCGGAGCGAGTAGAAGTGGACTTGATTGCCCTTGGACAAACTCACTAGGCAGTCCGTTTTGAACAGCGCCAGAGCCACGACAGGAGCGCTGTGGCAGCCCAACCCTACAACAGCGGGCAAGCTGAGTCTACAATGGAAGCGACGCGAATATGCACCTGAATGCTCGACATGCAAACGGGTATCCCACGCAACGACACTGCCACTTTCAAGCCCGAGGACAAGGAGGGTCGCGCTAGCGTCGAGTGCGGCGCACGTCACTGTGGACGAGAGTACCACGGACGTGGACGCGCAGTTTGGAGGGGTAAGCGCAGAAGGTGATGCTTCCAGCCGATATTGCAGTGTTTTGAATTGACTAGCAAGCACGATGCCCGTGGTTGTTGGGGGAGTTGTCGGAGGCTGGCGTGACGATGCGTCGACCAAAAACGCCAGGAACAAGTAGGACGCGTAGACGGCAGACGGGGCGACTGCCACGGGCGCTTCCTCGACGGCATGGTCCTTGCCCCCCTTCGCGCCCCCTCTGTCCTTGTGCTTGTCGGGTTTGGCGGGGACAGGAGCAGTAGCAACCTCCTGCATCGTGGATTTCGTTGGCGGATGGATGCCATAGGACGCAGGATCGACGTGCAATGCCAGGTGGGAGGCGTCCAGCATGAGCACATTTCCGCTCTCGATATCTGCGGTGGCTCCTGCAGTGCGATACACCTCAACCATGCCGGATTCGAATTGGACAGCCATGTGGGATACATCGTCGGCCAAGACAAGGCCCACGACGCGGTCCATGGAGGCCAGAGTGCATCGAAGTGTCGTGGTGGCGCCATCGGTAGCGTACATGTGGACTAAGCTTTCAAGTGCGTCCATCGCAGGGTCGGGAACATCGGGTTGCGCTGGTACGCCGTCTATGGGGGGCGGGGGTGAAGGTTTGGGTACCTTCCACGCTGCCACACTGAAGAATGTCCGCTTGATGAGACCTACCATCGCCATCAAACGCCAAAGAGGACATGAAGAAGGGGAGAGGGGGACGATGTACCAAGGCGAATGGGTATGAGTGCCGAGAGACAATGAACTTGAAGCCGAGGGGATGGAAAAAGGGGGGTCGTCGGGGCCATGGTTTGAGTCCCGTTCGATTGAAGCAGTTCCAACGATGTATAGCCGTGCAGAATCCCGATCATGTCGCGGTCGCCACTGACGCGAACTGGCGACGGTAGCGTCGGAACTGTGATGTCAAGCCTTGCCACTGCGTTTGGCGGGCTGAGCAGGGCCTTGGCTTCCTTCTCTCGAAGGTCTGCATTCAGTTGTCCTTGCAGCAGCTTGTACGTGATGGAGGACGTAATCGCTCCCCACGCCCCTGAGCACCCGTGAGAAGTAGGCTGGCTCAAGAATACGATGCTGTACGGTCGAGGATGTCGTTTTCTAGGATCTTGGCTAGCATGCGGAATGGCTGCGGCAGCATTGCAAACGTGAGGTCGGGATCGACGTGGTCGGGGGGCCGCTGCAGGTCCAAGTAGTTGAAGAACGATTTGAGCGAGATGAGTCCAGACGGGGACGAAAAGTGCCGCAGCAGGGGCTTTTCATCTTCCGTCAAGCGAATCTAAGACAGAAGCGAAGGTGGAGATCAAAACTTGGTTTCAAATACCCCTTTCGAAGCCAATGTTTTGAAAAACACTGGAGGGGGCACAAGGTCTTTTGACGCCTGACTCTCGTCTGGAGTCTACGCAAGTCACGTGTCAGCGCCACTCGAGGCATGACACACTGACATCGAATACACGCTCGACGTCCACTTTCAAGGCCACGCACTGTTCCCTGCGAAGGAGATGGGGGATCAGGAGATTGGAAGATCTGCACGCAACTCACCGCAGCCGTAGTTTTAGCGCGTGCCGGCGCTGGGCCTCGATGGCCGTCTGGCTTGGTCTACAACATGCGATTCATCGCGAGTGCCGCATCGATGGATCACGTCGTACGGCGGGGAGTCGTCCATGCCGCTGTGGGACGGACGCGTGAACCTGACAATGGGGAAGGACAGTTTCGTACGACAGTTTCAGCACCTTCACGAGTACACCTCCGGTTACACCGCGCAACTCGACCGACGGGCTGCATGGACGAGGCAAGCGGAGGCTCGTCCAATGTTTCATTCGACTCTTATAATCGCGCGCTGCGCAAGGGACGGCATCCCCGGTCGTTTGGCCGAGAGGATACGTCGACGCTGTGGAACGCGCTGTACGTCACTGAGCTTGTGGCGCTCGCCAACTGATTCCTCCTCTGGAGTAGAAAAACTTCGGCCGACCGAGTTGCGAACGTTCGGTTTGGCCAAAAGCTGGGTTCTGTCGTGGACAAAGACAACTCGCCGTCCCCTGGCATGCCCGTACGATGCCGTGCTCGACTCGCATGTCCAATATGTGGGATGTGGCTGTGTCTAGTTGAGTCGAGTGGATTCTGTCGTGTCGCCACTGCTCCCTGATGGCAGAGACGAAGGCAGTCCAAGCCACATGGGTCGCCAGAGCTTTTCTCGCGGCCGGGGTATGACCTTCATGCAAGCGTCGCAAACGCTTCACGACCATTGCACCAGGCAAACCCCCCGGGACGTACTCATCGTCGCCCGAGAAGAGAGACGTGCTGCGCCGAAGCAAGAAGAAGCAACATCACAACGGAAGCTTGGACGACGTCGTGAGGCGCATTCAGGCCTTGGGGACGACGCCCATGTCGTCGTCGTCGCCTACCCTCGACCCCAAGGCTGTATCCGCTGTGCCGGCCGCAACGTCCGGCCAGCCCCCGTCATCCTCGTCTGCATCGTCCAACGCGAACGACATTGACACAGCCAAACTACGCAACGACTTCAGCGCCCAAAGTGACGCGCGGATATACTTTGGCAGCACTGTCGCGTTCGAGCTCTTCAACGGTGACATGATGATGGTACTTCGACAACTGATGGAGTGCCACGCCACTGCGTCTGAAGAATGTGTCGTGGGCAGGTGTCTGTGGCGGACAGCACGGTCGTGATCCATCCGCTTGAGCACATCAGGCATCAAGCACGCGGGGCACGGGACAAATTGCTTTTCACGCTTGTAAACTTGCACGAACTGCGCAGCGCCAATGCGATCAAGTATGGCGACAGCGTATGGCTGCAAATCAGTGTCGGGACGGGCGAAACGTCGTGGGAGCAAGGAGGCGTCCTCGGTGCCAAAGTCCGCAAGGTGCCGGAGCTCCATGCGCTGACGCTGACGCAAAAGCGGCCGGGAAACTCCCTGGATGTTGGGGGCCAAGATGGCGGCGACCACCACGAGCCTGACCTGTTGACGAATGTGGGGTTTCCCGTCCCGGTCAAGGCATATTTACCCAAGGTTGGACCGTCCATCCTCCTCCATGACGGACGTTTGCATCGTCGTAGACGCGGGAAGACTCGACGGATTCCCAGATCGACGACATGCAAGCCCGACTGCGCAACAAATCGAGCCGCATGCTCGGGCGGTGGATCATTCGGTCGGCGGTCGCAAACCCCAACGCGAAAGACGTGAGGTTTCCACGAGGGTGGAGCCACGTGACGTCATCGGACCGTGGCGCGATAGGACTACGTGTACAACAACCATGAAATTTTCTTGGAGCAAGACTGGTTTTACCTCGGGGCGGGCACCGATCCGATGACGAAAGCCCCCGTCGCAGTCCTCCGGGAGCTGCCCCCGCCAAAGAACCACAAACTGGGCGAGTATATCGTCGAGCGACGGACGGCGTGGAAGGTCCGGCTCGTGGACTCGTCCAACGGAGGTCTGGGGTTGAGCCTCGTCCAGCAGCAGATGGAGCGGTTGCTCTTTAAAGCCAAGACGCAGCTCAAGGCGTCCGAGCGCATGCGAGATGGTTTGCAAACCGTGGCGTGAACGATGCATGACGTGCTGCATAGGAGACGCCCGAAGCTACAGCAACGGCCTCCACGGCGGGCAAAACTTTTCGAAACAGATTCGACAACACATCCAAACGATCACAGCCGCCAGCGACCAGGCGTATATCGGTCTCCAGCAAGACCGAGTGAGCGCTCTTGACACGGCGGCAGCACCACATTTAACCACGTTGTGTACAGGTGTGCAACTTGAATGCGTACTTCGAGTCGAAGATTGCCGCGATGGGCGACGGCGTTGGCCGTGGAAAGCTGCAACTGACCCCTCTCGGTCGAGCGCGTGGCCCGCTGCGATCGAGTGCGTCCGAGTTGACGCTGGAGAGTGGATCGGGAGGTAGCGGATCGGTCCTCCAAGGCTCGCGTTCGATGGCATCGCTGGCAGCATCATCGTCGTCGTCACCATCGACCGATTCGGGGGTATGGCATGGCTGGAGACTGGTCTGATCGTTGTGCACGGTTGTAGGTGCACGTGTGCAACTTGTGCGTGTCGAATCGAAGGTTTGATCTGTGTACCCATGACCACGACGTGTCGCGTTTGGTGTCGAAGGGCGAGCCGCTTCAACGTGGTCCGTCCACTGGTCCAAGCTATTCTAGAACTGCATCCGATCGATCGCTGCTGACGACGGCAGAACAAGCAGCGCGAGCGAAGCACATCGAAGCAGCAGACATGCGGGAACGAGACCGCATCATGCGGTAGGTGTTGTCCACAGTGCGACGAGCGTACGTTCAAATGCAGGGATCGACTAGACTCCTCGGAGACCAGGACGCACGGCTTTTGGGCGTGATCAAGACGGCGGAGCACCAGACAGCCATGGCTGCCATTCAAAGTCGAACGCACCATGACTTTTCCGAAGACGATGTCCCGCATTTCATCAACAAAATGTCCGTGCGACACAAGCGCCACCTACCGCCACCATCCGACGGGGTACGCACTCGGCGCTGCCTACAACATTCTGGTGACCAAAGCGGCGGTCATGTAGCTGCCAGATATCGATGAGCTGCGGCGACACCTCACCGAGGCCAAACCAAAAAGGTTGTTCGCAGACGACGACGAGCACGACGAAGGTGGCGACGAGAGAGACGAAGCAGCTAGCGACGTCGACACCAGTGGCGACGACAGAGACGATGACCGAAACAGCGGTGCATCCAGCGATACAGACGACGACTTCATCACGGAAGATGAGATTCAAATGCTCGACTTTGTCAACGTCGAAAAGGCCAGTGCCCTGTACGCGAACGACGAGAAGGCGTTGCTGGAGATGCTGATCGGGTTTGCCGACCTCGCGTTGCATCGAGTCGTGCCGCAGCTCAAGGAAGCACTCCATACACACAACAAAGCGAGTTTGCTTGAGACGGCGGACTTTCTCGCGCGGGTACCTGCGAGTCGGCAAGGGCGAATGTATCACGTGCGGATTATAGGCGGCAGAGTTTGTCGTGGCACGGCGCATCCAAGTGCACGTCATGGGGCTTATCCAGAGGTAAATCTATGATACAGCTCACACGAAGCGTGAACGAACGAGTAGCGTGGCGACGAGCAATGTGGACGATTTCACTGGTATCGAACCGAGCTTGAATCGACTGGTGAAGGAAGTCGAAGGCACCGCGCAGTTTGTTGAGACGTTTAAGGCGAAGAATCGTGCGCACCAACCCACCGCCGCGCCGCTTTCCATCGATGAACGAGGTGACGATGGCGTCGCCGACGACACCGCCGCGAACCGATGAAATGAACTTCAACGTCATTTCAAACGTGTTTCAAACGACTTGCCATGGATTGGCGAGTGCGCACATGATAGGCTGGCTGTCTTCGTCGCGTACACGTACTATAGTAAAGCTACGTCGTGCATGAGAAGAGAGTCGTAATATCATGGGTTGGGCGCTAAGCTTTCATCTGGCCCTTGTTATGTCGCATCTTAAGGACGCATGCAGTATTTAAAATGCGGTCGTCACATGTTCGAAACGTGTTTCGAACATCCACTGCCCAAGACCAGCGATGTTCAAGTATTTGGTGGTAAGAGCAGGACGAACATGTCGGCGGTGAATGTGGACTTGGTGCTGAGTGCTCGCCATGTCGTGCCGGTGGTCCCTGAGGGAATCGTATTGGACAACCACTCGATCGTTGTCAAGGATGGCATCATCGTGGCCATCGTACCCACGGCAGACGTGGAAGGAGCGTTCGTCGCCGCCGAAACCTTGGCATTGTCCGACCACATCCTGATTCCCGGCCTCGTCAATGCGCACACGCATTCGTCCATGACCCTTCTTCGAGGGCTCGTACGTAAATCACGTCTTTCTCTCCCTCGAAAGCACTGCCACTCCGTCTGACGTCGCGCATAGGCGGATGACAAACCTCTCTGTGAATGGCTCATGGAAGACATTTTCCCTGCCGAGGGCAAGTTTGTCAGCGACGAGTTTGTCCGTGACGGGTGCTGCTCCTTTTACCTAAGCTAGTTGATTGAGGCCGGTGTGCTATAGCACGTTGCACTCGGCGGCGGAAATGATTCGCAGTGGCACGACGTGCGCGAACGAAATGTACTTCTTCCCGGATGCCGCTGCATCAACGTTCGAGGCTGTCGGGCTTCGGGCACTCGTCGGTCAAGTCGTGATGGAGTTCCCAACGGCGTATGGGAATGGTCCGGCCGACTACTTTGCCAAGGCTCGCGCGATGTTCACCAAGTACAAGGACTCGTCGTTGGTACGGAAAGCGTCTTTCGCCGTGCATGTCACACGCAACTAGATCACTCTCGCCATGGCGCCGCACGCTCCGTACACAGTGTCGGACGCGTCGTTCGAGCAAGTCGTGGCGCTATCGCGCGAGTTCAATGCACGAATTCACCTGCATCTCCATGAAACAGAAGCCGAATGTGTCGACAGCACACACAAGACGCCATCCATGATGTGCCATCAGTCTGCCGAGCACTGCCGCCCGTTGAAAGTGAGTCATGTCTTTGGTCGATGGGACGACCTTGGTACCGTGTGGAATTCGTCGAGTAGAACATGCAGCGCCTCGGAGTCCTAAATGACCAACTCATTGCGGCCCACATGACGCAACTCACGGACGACGAAATTGCCGCCGTCGCCGCGGCCGGGACGCACGTTTCGCATTGCCCCACGTCCAACTTGAAGCTCGCGTCGGGACTTTGCCGTGTCTCGGACCTGCTGGCAAAGGGCGTGAATGTTGCGATCGGGACGGACGGTGCCGCCAGTACGTCGTCCATGGGAAGAATTATCAAGTGCTGACGACCAATGCAGGCAACAACACACTCAACATGTTTGCCGAGATGAAGATGGCGGCCATCCTTGCCAAGGCCGAGTCCAAAGTTAGCACGAGTGTGCCCGCAGCCACGGCGCTGCGCATGGCGACGTTGAATGGGGCCAAGGCGCTGGGACTCGACGCCAAGATCGGATCGCTTGAAGTGGGCAAAGTATGGACACTTGTTGGCTTGACTGGTGCGGATATGGATTGCTCACGGCCGATGGTGTTTAGTTCGCAGATATTGTCGCCGTGAGCACAGACTGCGTCGAAATGCTGCCCATGTACAGCGCCATTAGCCACTTGGTGTACGCTGCCGGCCGTGAAAAGTACGTCGCGCCCCAACTCGACGTTCCTTTGTCGTCACGAATCGTGTCGGCTGTAGTGTGTCGGACGTGTGGGTGGCTGGGAAGCGCCTTCTTGCCAACCGTATTCTCACCACGATCGATGAAGTCGAAGTCAAGCAACACTGCAAAAAGTGGCACGACGCGATCCGCGACCATCACGCTGAGATGATCGCGTCCAAGTAGAAATCTTTTCAAGAAGAGGATGGCTCTTCCATTTGGTCAATGTCCTCACGATTGTGACGTTGCGGCTTCCTTGAGCCCTGAAGCACGTCGCTATCGATAGGCAGTACCCATTTCAGGGACATGGTGGGCTGATGAACGCCGCGAGCTCTGCCGTCGACGGTTAGACGTACAAGTCCAAAGTAGGGATGGTCCAAACTTGGATCTTCCCAGTGGGTCGGGCTTGGAGGCGCGCTGTAGGCTGCAATTTTCCCACGGCAGTTGGTGCATTCGCTTCCACACTTTCTGTGCTGCCACAGAAGCCCACGTTAGATTGTGGTGTATTGGAGGAGGCAGGAGGGACCCTGGTGTGGTCAAATGTGTGTGTGTTATCTGAACACCTCTAAAAGTTACAAAACGTCGGGGACGGGCTATCTACGGAGGCACAACCTTGACGACCACTTCTGCTACGTGGGGTTCAAGGTATTCGGCGAGTTCGGCTTGGGTGACCCAGAGGTAGTCGGCGGCCTTGGCTTTGTTCAGGTTCACAACGCCTTCGTTGCCAAATGTCTGCGCTTTCAAGAAGAACATCTTCGTGCCGTGCACCTTGCCGTCAAAATCGGGCTCATTTTCGTGGCTGACGACCAAGTGGCCCATGGGAGCATTCCCCACAGGATACGCTTCGACTTGATCGCCGATCGTGTCTGCCAGTTCGCGGAACGCCGCATCGCGCATGGTTTCATCAGCAGCCTTCTCCGTCGTGGGGAGTGTCCACTTGAGCGAGACAGGGTCTTGCACAATCAGGAACACGCGTTGCTTGAGCGCGCGGTTCAACGAGTGGCGGTTGTTGGTGGCGTCATCTTCTGTTTCACGCTTGGCCAGTTGGAATCCATCGCCGACCAGTTCGTCTTCGTTCCATTCCGACAAGAACGGAGCATCCTCCGGTTCGACGTCAACGGCACCTGGTTCTTTGAACCAAAAGTCCTTTGGAAGGCGCTACAAGATGGAAACTGAGAAATTCATCTCGAACGATCGTTCAGCACGAGATAATCGTACCATCGCTTCCTTGATTTCGATCTTGTGTTTCATGCGGTAGTACGCTTCTTCCCACGGCTCCATGTCGGGCAGAATCAGCGGCAGACGTTCCAAGATGCTCGCAAACACGATGCGGTACGTTTTGCCGTCGTCGACAAGCGGCAGCAATTGGTTCATCTTGTGCGACGGTCCCCGAGATCGATGTGGGGCCTTGGCATTCGCTGGCTTGATCAAAGTCTTATTGGCCTTCTTGCTCGATTTCGACGCGAACTGCCGCGTCAGAGGCACCGCCTGGAAGAGGACGCGCTGCATCATGTCGACTGTGGTGCACCAACAAGTTCACGCGAATAGCTGGTGGAGAACGTCCCCCTGCCGAGCGCATCACTCGCCCCTGATTGGTGTAATTTTCAGCCAATCTGGTGCGACTCCGCACTGCTCGTTTTGAAGGACCCGGAATGAATTCCGCATAGTAGACTTGGAATTTGTATGCAATTCAATTCCATTTCTTTTCGCGGTGTTTCAAACCAATTTCGCACCAAATTGTTCAGGTGTATATTTTGACGAGCCTGCGTTGATACACCTAGCTTCGGCGCTGAACAGTCAAGGGTGAGGTATTTGTTTCGTAGGAGACGTCTACTATATGTTTCGAATGGCGCTCACGCTGACAGCGCGACATGATCCGACGGAGTTTGCGCGTGGCCTCGATCTCGGCGGGTTCGACATCCGCCACCGCTGCAATGAAGACCGCTGCCAACGTAAAGAAGAGAATAGTTGATGAGATCAAGGTAGAAGCAACGAAAAAGGGGAAGCTAGAAGTGATGACGGAAGAGAAGGTGAAGCCCTCAAAGCGTGCGAAAAGAGTGAAACCGGAACTGAAGGCGTCCCCTGTGGATGACGTCGGTACCCCTTCTGCGTCCCCGCTTCCTTCAAAACCCAAGAAGGTTTCCAAGAAGGACGAGGAGAAAGCCACCCAACTGAACTCGTACCTGTCTCATATTCAGGCAAGGCGAGAGAATACTGCGCACTCCCAGAAGCTTGTTGGTGCCCATGTGTCAGGTGCCAATGGACTCGAGAATGTCGTGTTCAATGCTGCGAAAATCGGTGCGAGGGCGTTCGCCTTCTTTACCAGGTCGCATCGCTCATGGTCGTGTAAACCGTTGACTCAGGACACCATCACTGCCTTCCATGCCGCCATGAAGCGCTTTGGATACGCTCCTGGCGACGTTGTGCCCCATGGGAGCTACCTCCTCAACTGCGGGTCACCTGACGTAGACGTGCTGCAGAAGAGTAGGGAAGGCCTCCTCGACGAGGTGCGGCGGTGTGAAGCGCTGGGTCTCTCGCTGTACAATTTCCATCCTGGCGCTACCAAGAACGAGATCACCGTCGAAGAGTGCCTCGACCTGATCGCCGAAAGCATCGAGCTTACACTGAAGCAGACGAAGGGGGTCACCATCCTCGTCGAGAACATGAGCAACCAGGGGTGCGTCCTTCTCTCCATCGTCGTGATTCACTTTTGGTTCCGACCTAGGTCAACCATTGGCGGGCCGTTCACCCACCTTCGCGGCATCATCGACCGTGTGTCTGAGCCGCACCGGGATCGCGTCGGCGTGTGTTTAGACACCTGTCATGCCTTTGCGGCCGGCTGGGACCTCCGCGATGATGAGTACGCTGCTGCGCATGACACGAGGTGGCTCTTCTCGTCATGATATTGATGTAGATACGAGAAAACCATGGCCGAGTTTGACGCGACTGTTGGGTTCAAGTACCTCAAAGCAGTTCACTTGAACGACTCGCAAGGAGAGGTTGGGTGCCATGTTGACCGGCACGAAAAGATCGGTCGTGGTCATGTCGGTCTGAAGTCGTTTCGTCGGCTCATGAACGATCCACGGTTTAATCACATCCCCATGATCCTCGAGACGCCTTACGTCGACGATGACGGCTACGAAGCCGAGATCTCGCTGCTATACTCGCTTTACGACAAGGACATCGTTCAGTCGTAGCACATCCAAGGTGGTCAGATATGGCTTGGAGTGATCTTTTCCTCTTCCTCGATGAATATTTGGAGCTTCCATCCGTCGAGTCGACATGCATGCGCATGGCGAGAGGCTCAAGAGCAAAAACGAATAGCAGTAGAGGAGTGTGCACAGCGATAGTGTTCACAGCCCTGCATCGCACCACCGCGTCTCTCGAGGGCCGCCGGGATCGTTCTTGAAATGGACATTTTTACTCCCTCGGCGTGCCAAACGTGTCCTTTTCCGTTAGTTTGTGCGTTTGAAACACGTTTGAAACGACATAGCACTACCCAAATGAAATACGAGACAATGCCACATGGTAGCCCCAATACCAATGCGCGCGGCGGAGGGCGGTGTGCCGCTCACGCCGCCGCCACCGCTGTTAACGACGCAAGTCAATCTCATTCAGACACCAAGGGAAAATCATGCGGCGTACGCGTTGGCGCAATCTCCCGACGGTTCAACACAGGTCTCTGCGCCACCTGTATACCACCGTGCATCGTCCATGCCCATCGACGAAGATGCGCAGTATGATCGGTACATCGCGGGTGCAAAGGATCCAAACAACGTCACTGCATTGGACCAAGCGATGAAATGGAGCGTGCGTGCGATGAGGCAGTTGTCCTTCTTCTCGTACTACGGCAACACGTTCGTAAGCGCGCGGATGATCTCGTGGACTGTTCAAATCACAGTCATCCACGTTGCCCTGCTTGCGAGCCTCTTTGCATTCACACCCGAGCTTCGCAAGTATTCCTACAGGGATCCTTCCGGCTCTGGTACCGGCCATTGCGACGACATTGTCGACGGCATCGAGATCACAGTGTACGCAGCCGTCGCAAATGTGATAATCTGCCTGCCGACATCCCACGCGACCATGTACGTCTCGATCGTTGGACAAGTTCAAACATCCATCGCCGCTGTAGATTCCAACTGTACACGGCGCAGCGGAAGAAGTCGTACCTGCACACGATCTGCGAGTTTCTCGTGATTGCCGAGATCATCTTTCTCGTCTACAAGCTCTGCTCAGACATGTACTTGCTTTACAAACGCGACTTGTACCTTGAGTGCCTTCGCGATCAGCTTCCGATGGCGCTTCGAACCAAAGTGCTCGTCCTGATCGCGCTCGACATCTACGTCTTTGTCGCGTGCTGGTACCAAATCACACTTTTCAATCGCATGCGGGACGTGGCGCTCGGCCAGCGCAACATCGTCCCAACCAACCGCTTGTTTGAATTTGCCGACCCCGACTGGTGGAAGGTATGGCAAGTCAATCCGGCACGACGAAGGGCAGTGCACGAGGTAGCTCCCCCTACTGCATCATGTACAATTGCTGTCGAGCGATTGCGTTGTTTGGTGTGGACTGCGGACGCCATCCATGCTAGAGGGTGGCGCGTACGCTTTATATTCATTGCAGTGGGTATGCACTTGTCGCGTTTGTTGTGAATGGAACGGTGTAGATCAAGCGAGGGCTGTACGAGGCCGCGGCGGCGGGCGATGAAAAAAGCCTCGAGACTTTTCTTCACCAAGCAATGGCTCTGGATGGAGTGGATTTTCACCGGTCGTGGTGCGTCGCCAATCCAAGCCGCCATCTCCATGCTACGACCCCCTCTCCACTGAACTCACGGGATGTGTGCTCAACAGGTACTCAAGCAACCGACTCATGTGGGGACACTTTGCCACAAGCGCCCGCAATCCACTGCACGTGGCGGTGATCAAAGGGCGAACAAGTGTCGTGCAGCGCTTGCTCGCATGTGGATTCGATCCCAACGCCCTCGACAAGATACAAACGCCGAGTTTGATGGACCTGAGTGCGTGGTACCAGACCATCTTCAACGTGCTCGTGTTCCTGCGCAGCACGAATTTTTCCGAAACGTCAAGCGCGACGACGAGTCGATACGGTCCGTCCTCGTTCTGGTGCCAGACGCTCCTCACGCCGCTCCACGTCGCCATGATGCACAACGAAAGCGCGATTGTGGGCCTCCTCCTCGCTGCCCACGCTGATCCGAATCGATGCGCCGAATCCAATCAGCGTAAATGCTTGGTTCCACCGCTCTTTCACGTCGACTGCACAAACTGCCTCCGCCTCGTCATGGAAGCAGGTGGCAATTTGCTCCACATCCCTGGCAACGGGTACCATTTCTTCTTCAGTACGTGACGTCGATGGACACTGAACACAGTCGAATGCGGACCGTAGGTTCTTCATGACGGCGTACGAAGTCGTCGTCCGTAGCGGCAACTTTGCCTTGGCCAACGTTATGGTCGATTGGGGCGCTGACATCGCGCTTACTCCCATGCATGCCGCCGCTGCGAATGGGGACTGGAGGACCGTCGCGTCCTTCCTCGAAGCTGGGATCCACCCCAATATACTTGGGGAAAACTCCACCGGGCGCTTTCATCGCACGCCGCTGCACTGGGTACCATGGCTGCAATGGCCACAATTGTGCGCTCATGCGTTGCCGGTGGGTTAGGCGGCGATCCGTGGCCAAGCTCGAGTCGTTGAGTTGCTCTTGACGTCGCCGCTTTGCGATGTGAATGCGATGGACACGCTAGGGATGACACCGCTCGCGTGGTCTTGTGTATTCAACCATGACATGGTTGTGGATCTCTTGCTCCAAGCGAACGCTGACGTGTCGGTGGTACGTTTGTATATCAAGTCGTTCTGGTGGCCACAGTCGCATGTTTGCTCAGGTCGATAGCGTTGGCCGCAGCCTCGTGCTCCTTGTGGCTGGGCATGAGTCGTATCAAGACCATCCTCGTGACAACGTGCTAAAACTCTTGCGTGCATTTGGCGGAAACCTCCACGCCCGCCATGAATTGACGGTATGCCAACGCTATCCGCAAACTCCTCACGACTACATCAGGGAGAGACGGCGTTGCATGTGGCACTCAAGAAAGGCCATGTCGAAATGGCCAAGCTCCTCGTGCAGATGGGACTTGACGTGACGACGGTCGACAGCAAAGGCATTCGAGCGATCGATTGCGCCACGTCGTCGGAATTGCAGTACGCCATTAAGAAAGGTACGTTGAGACTCGAAGAAGGAGCGGCATGATGGGTCAACTAGCGGCCGGCCAACGCGACGTCATGATCAGCTATTGCCATTCCCACCGGTCGTTCGCATTGAAAGTGCGGCAGTCGCTGGAAGACCACCACGTTACGACATGGATCGACCAGCTCGACCCGACCGGCATCGGCGGCGGGTCCGAATGGCGGGAAGAAATCGCTCGCGGCATCCAGAGCGCGTCGGTCGTGCTGGCTGTACTCAGCGAGGATTACCCTCGATCGCAGTGGTGCATGAAAGAACTCGCATTTGCCAAACTGCACAACGTCCCAGGTACAACTCGAACATGCGTGGTCGACCATGCGCACCAAACATGTCCAAAAAATTAGTGGTTGGCATTACGTGTGGCAACGTCGTCGTGGGGGACGAGCTCGAGGTGTATCTGTGGACACGACAAGCCGTGGACTTCCGACCATCGATTTTGTCAACGTGCAAACTCGACAACCACGTGTCATTCCAGTTCAACGAAGCCCAGTATGTGAACAATCCCCCAGATTGCTCCTGGCCATCCGTTTTTAAACCGCGCCATCCTTCGTCAGGTACCAAGTGCACGTTCGCCAACTCTTGGACGGGCTCCGAGATGAGATCGAAGAACGACGAGTGACGTCGGCGGCGCTCAAGCGCCAGGCCATTGCTCTGCATGTTCAGCAATCGCATGACGGGTCTCGGTGCAGTGGATCGTCGTCGATCGTGTCGGTCGCCGCGAGCGACATGTACGTGTTTCTGTGCCACGGGGACTGCCACCTCTCGTTTGCCAAGACGTTGCAATGCCAGCTACAGGCTGCCGGCATTCGGTGTAAGCTGGACCAACATCGGCCCAACCGGCAAATGCTGGCGAAAGACAACGTGCTGGACCCCAACTGCATCGCAGTGCTGCTCATTCTGTCGGAATCCTCGACGAAAAGGTAGACGAATTGGCGATGTGACGCAACTTCCCTCATCGCGTGGCTATTGCAGCGAAACCCTTCGAGACCAACTGGCTTTCGCAGAGAATCGAGCCAAGCCGATCGTACCGATACTGCTGTCATCGCAAGTACTTGACAATGCGCTTGTGTACTCGTTGTCTCGGAGCACTGTGCACCACTTCAACGCGTCCATTGGGATGCAGCAGAGTGTCGACAATCTCGTGCCCGATCTCCGAGCCCTCCAGCGACGGGCAACCAATGTTTCGTCTCCCGCGGGGATCGACGGGCAGTTTCGAAGGCAAACGAGTCAGGCGATATCACTACACCTTCGGGTGTCGCGTGTCAGCGGTCGGGCAACCGAGACCACAGGCACGTCGATCAGTCCAGCACTTCATGGCAACCCCCAACAAGTGGAGCAAATGGGAGACGACTGGAGTCTACAAGTCGAGAACGCCCTGCATCAAGTGTCCCACGCGCCGACCAGCGTTTGAAACCAGCATATATAGCTAGCTGTGAAGCCCCAGCCAGCTTCCTGTGGTTTGCATGTTGCGCTGGTTGGAACCACGTGTAGCATGTCCGCTGTATTTAATTATAGCCAATCCCGATGCATCAGATGGTAAATAGGGTGAATTTTAGCCAATCTAATTTGTTGCTTAAGAACACAAAATCATGATGCATTGCTCATTTAACTCACTATTTTAGCCAATGGGTGCCATCGAATTTTCAGCATCCCATAGATCGAATAAAAATGCATGGGCCAGTAATTGCTGCCAAGAAATCGCCTTGGCGAGTGGGCATGAATCCGATCACCGAGAGTGCGTCGCCACCGCTGGCTGCGGTAGCGATGGCAGCATCTGTGCCAAATGTGGCTGTACCAGTGGAACGAGGCATTACCCAGGTCCGAGTACAACCCAAGTCGTCGTGCCACCATGAAAAGCAGGCGATGCGTGGTGTCGAGTGGAATGGAGGGCTTCCTGTGGCTATAGTTGCACAGCCCATCGGCACTGCGAGCTGTACCATCACCAGCGGTCGATCGAGCATCTTCAAGCAGTGCTTCTTCATGCTCGTGCTCCTGTTTGTTGTGACGTATGTATTGGGTGAACACATCGCTGCCATTGGCCTCCCGACTACCGTCGCGGCGTCGTTCCAGACCTCCGCCACGTCAACCTCGGCCGTGTACGTGTCCATGGTCAGCATCCCCGTCATGGAGCGTGTATTGCCTTTGAAGCATCTTGCGGAAGAGCTGCTGCAGCGAGGATATCGGGTTAGCGTCGCCATGCCAGAGGTAGACCAAGCTAGTATTTTCAATGTCCTGGCGCTGACTAGTCCATCCATGTTGCAGATATGTCGCAGTTGGGTAAGTGATGTTCCCGGGCTCGAGTTCATATCCCTTGGCACAATGTCTGTGTCGTCCCACCCGCTAACGATCAAAACGGCGGTACTTGCATCGGCACATTCCTTGCTGTCCTCCTCATGCGCTCGAAACAGGTTGGCAATGTCGGTGTGCACTCGAGCTACTTGTCGTCCCTTCAACACTACGCTTCGTATCACCAGCCTATGCTGCACCCGCTCCTAGAGGATTTTACGGAGGATCCGCCGTCGATTATTGTACAATTGTGGTTTTCTCCATCGTCCAGCCAACGGACTTGTTGTAGGTTGTGGACCGGTACTCATTTGCTGGAATGGACGTGGGCGCTTCACTCGGAATACCTTGCGTGATCAACAACCCCTTTCTCCTCCTCGACATTGACGACCCCCCGGCGTACGTTCCCGCGCCGTTGTCGCACCACCCCATCATGGATGCCATGACGGTGTATCAACGCTGCATGAACGGATATTTTCGGCTACGCTTTCGCTTGCTCAACTTGGGCTTGGCTGCCCACCTCCACGACGCGACCGGATCGTCGGTCGCTTCCAAGATCCTGTCCAACAATGTAAATGTAGTGCTGACCAACTCTGCGTTTGGGCTCGAGTACCCGCGGCCGCTGACACCCCTTCACCGCATGGTAAGGCATCGGGTGAAGCGCTTGCGCCTGGTCATGGTGATGCGTCTAGGTTGGCGCGCTTCGCCGCCGTGCTGTCACACCGATGGATGCAGACCTCGAGTCCTGGTTTAACATTTCTCCACGGGAAACGGACCCGTATTATGTCGTATATGTGGACTTTGGACCGGACGTGGTCCTGTCGATGGAAGTCATGACACAAATCGTACGCTGTACTTTGATATCGCACGACATCTCACCGCTTCCATGGCTGCAGATCACTGTGCTGCGGGAGCTCGATCTGCGCGTGGTGTGGAAGCTGACGGCTGACATGGTACGACCCGTCGTAGTCTTCCGATCGAGTTGTTGATGGCCATCGACTGTGTGTGCAGCACAAGGCTTGGAACACCGACGACGACGACGCCGCACCACTGCTCCATGCGTTTGAGTCGTGGGAAGTGTACTTTAGTCCACGCATTGCGCATACGGCAGTGCTCCACCACGCCGCATTCTTTGTCACGGCCGGGGGGTTCAACCACGCGCAAGAAGCGCTGTGTGCGGGTCGACCCATCCTTGGCATTCCATTCTCTGCGGAACAGGTTGTGTCTCGCTACCTCGAATGTTGTGGGCTAACTAAAGTTCAGGCTGAGTTCGTGGACCGAGTGATCCGGGCTGGCGCGGGCGTGTCGATTGAGGCGACCGAGTTGACGGTCGAAAACCTTCGCCATGCCGCCCAGCTTCTTCTTGCTCATGATCGGTACACAGTTCACCGAATCGGTGACTCTATGCAATGACATGTGGTTGATGGACTTGCGTAGGTTTGCCAAAGCTGCGACCCGCCTCGGTGGCCTCTTGACCAGCGCCGGGGGTGTCGTTGAAGCTGCAAATATCGTGTTAGCCGTGGCGGACCGCGGCGCGTTGGCCCTGATTCCCGCCCGCCACACACAGCCATTTGTCAAGACGTACTTGTTCGACGTGTATGCGGTTTACGGCGCCGTCCTCTGTGGCGTCGCAGTGATCCTGCGCACGCTCCTTTCGGCGCTCTTTTCCGTATTCCAGCGCAAAACGGTGCCGTTGGCGCCCGACGTCCCGAAACTCGACTGAAGAGACAGTGGTTGTCGCATAAACGCCCACATCAATACCAATCTTCTCAGTGCCATCCACGCTTCCTCTATACAACGTGACGAGAGCAAAACGGGATGGACCGCGACGGCCGTTGTTTCTGGACCATGCAGCATCGGAAGTCCCCAACTTGAAAACAAACGTCGATAAAAGCTTTCATGTACTGTTTACATGTCGTTGGAGGTCGACAATGGACCATGTTCTGGTGAAGGGTCAGTCGTTGCTGCCGGCGGGAAGGTGAGCCCTGCAAAATCGGCCCTTCCGCACAGCATTCATGCACCCGTCGCTCGTGCATCGCTTGCCTCCGCCGTGGGCGATGCAATACCCATTCCCTCGATCCTTCTTGTCGCATTGAGCATGTTTACACTTGCGAATTCCACCATGGGCGTAGCAAAATCCCTTGCGTTGCTGGCCCTTGGTGCATCCTGCAAATTCGCACTTTTTGCCTCCACCGTGCGCCCGACAGAATCCCCCCCCTTGAGAACTTTTGGGGCAATCAGGGTGCTGGCATCTCGCGCCACCGCCATGCGCTTTGCATCGATTGTTCGATTGTGCTCGCCTCGTGCAACCATTTTCTGTACACCGCTTTCCCTTGGACTTGTAGGGTGGGACAACTTGTTGGTTCGGCGCTGGGACTGTTGTCGCTCGCTGAAGGGGGACCTTTAGCACCGGCTGCGGAGGTTTCGCCGCGTAGTCCGACACAGATCGATGGTGGTGCACTGGCGGCGGCAGGACGTGGCTGCCCAGCTGGAACCTGCGAAAGTCGGGGTCGACGGGAAATTTTCGCACTTCGATGGCTGGGGACGTCGAAATGGTCGTATTCGCTCGCAAGCCCCCCATCGAGTCTTGACACACGAACGACGACGGCTGAACCTGAGCAGGGTGAAGGTAGGGTTGTTGGTAGTTTTGGGGGACGGAGAATTGCGCTGTCGACGACGATGGTGCGTTGTGGTGGTGGCCATGAGGCATGAAAGATGTGTACACAGGTTCGAACGAGCTGTTTGGCGTTGAGGCCAACTGAGGAACGCGCAATTCAAAGTCATGAAAACCAGGGTACGACACAAAATCGACTTTGTGTAGCGGAGTGAGAGGGGCATGGGTGTGGTCGAGGGGCTCGAACATGCCACCTTGACTGCCTGCATCGTGCTTGACGTCCGCTAGGGGATCTTCGATGGTGTACCCAGAGAAGAGATCATTTTCGTTGAAAGGACTCTCACTATACCATGGATGTATTGTAGTCAGAGGCGACTGATTTGTCGACGTGGAGGCCAAAGGTTTCTTACGTTCTGGTGCGGGGCCGGTGCTGCGTGTGGCTCAACGCATGGTTCATCGTCGCGCCCTCTTCCATGAAGAATGACTTGACAAAGGAGTTGTCGTCCATGTTCATGCGGTACAGGCGACCGATTCAAGAATGGCATGGAGCATGCCGACAGAGGGTGTGAGCTGGTTCGGAGGTTGGGACGATGCATGTGGTGCCTGCGTCTGAGGAACGAAAGATTTTCCGTCGCCCGATTGGCCACCCGTGGAAATATGGGGCCCGAAACGTCGCGGAAACGGCAACGTAACGGCCCCTGAGTGAAACGGCGGGGCAGCACCAGGGTTGAGTCTGGACTGGCCAGCTATGGCAATTGCATCGACTATACAACATCACAGGCAGTCGGAATACAGTCAAGAGTTGGTGTAGCTGCTCGTTGCGCTTTTCGTACCTGCGAGGACATTCCGCTCTCGTCAGGTTGGAGGTGATGCTATCAATGCTCAGCTTGATGCTTTTCAGGTTGACGTCGACAAACCTGATTGGCCCGCGAACCGACAATCTGATCGCTGATTGGTGACTTCGATGGCCAATGAAAAGGAGTGTCCGGAGCGACTCCTCCATGTACGTGTTCAGGAGGATGGAGTACGAACAGTACGCTTTATAATCCAATCCTGGCCTGGAGATTGGTCATACACTAACTTCATACGAGGAAGAGTAATATCGTTTGTGTGTTGATGATGCGTTCCGCCACCAACACATTCTCGCGCAGTGGGTACCTCCAGGTTGAAGTTGCAAAATCTCGCGGACATGCTAAACTATCGTAAAAAAGTCATTGAAATTCACCAATTATTATCAATAAAATCTCGCTGTAAGTCCCCAATTACCTTAACCGTATTTCCGACCTTGTGAGCACCACCACATCGATTGTCATTGCACGAAAAAGTTGTAGGTTATGTATTTAATTAAGAGAATGCATTGCCCAATTCCTTTACGTCCCACGGTTGTGTGGCCACATTCCTTCCAACCTGCTTCCATCCACCACGGTTCTCATTCAGCAATCTGCCACCACGAACGCACTTCTCCGCTCCTCATTCCGTCGGCGCTCGCTCCTTCCAACTCTCTGCGTGCGTACGATGACATCCACTTCAAATAATCCCCTTCTCGCGGACTGGTCCGTGCGCCCGTTCTCGTTCCCACCTTTCGAAGAAATCAAAGCATGCCACTTTCAACCTGCGTTCGAATACACCAAAGCAAAGCACTTGGAAGAACTGAAGCAAATTGCCAACAACCCCGAGGAACCCACGTTCGACAACACGATTAAGACGTTTGATCGTGCCGGTGCCCTCTTCAAACGTGTTGAAGGTGTGTACTACAACCTCACAGCGTCCTACTGCCCTCCGGACCTCCAAGCTGTTGAATCGGAGCTCGCTGGGCCGCTGGCCGAGCATTCGTCGAAAGTTACGACATTCCCTGGGCTCTTTGAACGCATCCAACATGTATACAATGACCGTAACTCGGCTGGGTACACCCCTGTGCAAGTCCGCCTCGTCGAACGTTTCTATTTGGACTTTGTTCGCGAAGGCGCGCTCTTTGACAAAGAAACACAAGACAAATACAACGCGATTGTGAAGGAATTGGCGGAATTGACGACGCATTTCCGTCAACAAGTCACCACTGACGAAAGCGAAGTCACGGTCCCTGTTACTTTGGCCGAACTCGAAGGTGTGCCTACCGACATTGTTGCGGCCGCTCGCCAAGCTGCTGCGGACCGGAACTTGGACGGCCATGTGATCACCCTTGGCCGATCCCTCGTCGAACCTTTCCTCACATTCTGCCCCAACCGCGACGCCCGCGAGCGCGTGTGGAAGGCATGGACGTCCCGTGGAGAGCTCTCCCCCGATCGCGACAACTTGAGCGTAGCGGTGAAGATTCTCAAGCTCCGATCGCAGCAAGCAAAGCTGCATGGATACAAAAACTTTGCGGATTACCAGACCGTAGACACGATGGCGCAAACCCCAGAAAAGGTGCTAGAGTTATTGAACCGCGTGTGGACTCCTGCCAAAGTCGCTGCCAACAAGGAGCGCGAAGTCTTGTCTGCCTACGCCGTGTCCAAGGGTGAAAGCGCTGAAGTCCGCGCGTCCGACTGGCGATTCTACTCAGAGAAGGTTCGCGCGGCGAAGTACGACCTGGACGACGCCATCGTCAAGCCCTACTTTAGCTTGGAGCGCATGGTTGAAGCCGTGTTTGACGTGGCGAACCGACTGTACGGCCTCACGTTTGAGCTCCGTCAAGACTTGAAGACATACCACCCGGACGTGCAGGTGTACCAAGTGAAGGGTCCGTCGGGCGACATTGTGGCGCTCTTTTTGCATGACAACTTTGCGCGCCCGCACAAGAACAGCGGTGCTTGGATGAGCGAGTTCCGATCGCAGAGCCGCAATATTGACGACATCAACACGTCTGAAATCCCTATCGTGATCAACAACAACAACTTCACCAAGGGCAACCCGACGCTTCTCTCGTTTGACGACTGCGTCACTCTCTTCCATGAATTCGGTCATGGGTTGCACGGCATGCTCTCGGACGTGACGTACCAGCGCCTGGCCAGCACGAACGTGCTCAAGGATTTTGTCGAGTTGCCGTCCCAGCTCATGGAACACTGGGTGCGTCAGCCCGAAGTTTTGGCCGTCCACGCCCGCCACTATAAAACGAACGAACCGATCCCGGCCGAGTTGCTGGCCAAGGTCATGGCCGCGCTCAAGTTTCAACAAGGGTTCGCCACCGTCGAGTACACTGCGAGTGCATTGGTCGACCAGGCGCTGCACGCAATTGAAGACGTCGACGGCCTCGATTTGACAGAGTTTGAAAAGGCCACACTCAAGAAACTCGAGATGCCGCCGGGCATTGTGATGCGCCACCGCATTCCCCACTTTAGCCACCTGTTTGCGTCGTCAAGCTACGCGTCGGGGTACTACGTGTACTTGTGGGCCGAAGTTCTCGACGCCGACGCTTTCCAAGCGTTTGTCGAAACAGGCAACATCTTTGACAAGGGCACGGCCGACCGTGCCAAGAAGTTTATTTACTCGGCCGGCAACACGCGAGACCTCATGGAAGGGTACCGACTCTTCCGTGGCCGCGACCCCAATATCGAAGCGATGCTGATCAAGAAAGGGTTGATTTAAGCTATCGGTACACACACGCCATGGTCCATTTGTTTTCTGCTCCATTCATTCAAGGGAATCCTTGACTATGCTGCAATGTCATGCAGCGCTCGTGTAGTTTGAGCGGCAGTGCCATTGCTCTTTGTGGGCCAGCTGGACCAAACACTCGTGGACGGGTGTTTCGATCGATATAAGAGGGCGTATTAACTTAAGGGGGACCTGGTTGGGCCGAGCTGCGTTGCGCATGCAAGACGTATCGCCACTTGCCCTCGACTTTGAATTGCCAAAGGAGAAAGAAGAGGGCCACCATCCCGCCGACGCTGAACCATGACCATTTGTACAACGCAGCGTTCATAAGGACGAGCGAGATCGGCACGAACGCAAGGCCTACGAGAGAGGGGGCTGATTCTGAAAACACCCACGACAAGGCCAAGTTACCTGCAAGGAAGAGCCTGTACGCCCAGATCCAATCCACTGCACACTGATCCTGCCACCATAATGTGAACGGCGAGTCGGAGTCGAGGAGATCGTTTGGAACGAGGGTCAGCTCTTGTTCAAGTTGGGTCGCGGCATAGCTATCGTGAATGACACCATCAGGCAATGAAGATCGAGGGTCTGCCCTGCATATACTTGAGGGTAGCAATCGTGAGCATAAGGCAGCGCAACATGCACAACATCAAGCACAGCATGGAGATGACGCTGACGGAGCCTTGGAAGAACACCAACGTCGAATGGGTCGATTCGGGTGGGTGGCTTTCCACGTAAGCTTGGCGTGAGAAGATGGAAACAACCAAGGACACTCCAGATAGCGCGGATAATTGGTAAGCACGGGAGTCGACTAGGCGCCTTTCGTTTGCCAACTTGTAAATGCGACGTGTCCGATTGATGTCGTCCCGGCGCCATTCCAACTTTCTCTGGATGAGTTCTTCGCGTCGCTGGATCTCTTGACTTCGGTAATCCATGTCTTCCAAGCGCCATGACCTCGAATTCTTGACATCATATATCCCCATGAACCGATGCAACGCGGACGCCATGCCACTGGCGGCGGGATCGGCGCACTTCAGTCGAAGCATCTTGTCAGCTGCCAGTGCCGCCTGATTGGTACGAAATCCAAATCGTACTTTTATTAAATTTCGCTCACTAAAACGCACTCGAGTTTGATTGGCGGTCGCCTTGTTTGGAGACGATCCTGATTGGCAAACAATAGTTGACGTTTATTGTTATGTGTGGGGGTACACAACAGAATCGCTCAAAATACTGTTACTGGCAACTACGTTCATTTTACTGCGCCTCGTGGGTAGGATGGAAGTTTAGACTTGCCATATTGGACATGTTCCCAATGCTTCCTTGGCAAGAATTCAAATTTTCTATAAGTCATGTCAAAGGAGAACTATTTCGAGCGAAATAGTTTAGTCACTACTTTCATAAATATTGCAGCATAATACTGAAAAAGAAAAATGGACGATGGTATATGACGTCTATGGCCGCACAAGGGAGAGGCTGTCGATTACGTCGTGGGCGGCGTCACGATCTCTCGGGCGACACCGCTCACCTTGACGGGAGGTGCCTTCATCAAGTATCGCCACTTACTCAAGATTCGGAACTGCCAAATGAGCAGGCCGATCCCTGCCACCACGGAAATGCTGATGGATGTTGCTTCCCATCGGCTGTACTGCACCCACGACACGATGCCGAGTTCAATTAGGAACAACGTCACCCCTAGAAGATTGGTTTAGCAAGCGAGTCAGAAGGCAATGAGTCACGAACCCGCTCGAAAGAGAAGATAGCCTAGGAGCCAGTCGGTCTCGCATTTCTTCAACCACCACGTATAAAAGGGTGACTCGAAGTCGATGTCCTGATCTTGGAGCGCACGGACGTCATACTCGAGTTCATGGGCCGAGTAACGCGTGACAGCGACCAGAAGCACTGTGAAAGTCACGGACGAGACAACCATCGTGCAAATCTGTGGAAGCTAATCAAGTCATGCCAATGAATTCGAGGACGTACACAAAGTGCTGAAGTGATGCCATAAACCCAGAGCAGATCCAAATTGATCGGATCGGGTAAACTCACGTTGATCACGGAAATCAACGCAAACCCACCCAACAACGCACCAAGGGAAGACACGGCCGAGAGCTGTTCGGATCGCGTGTCAGCTTGGCGACGTTCGTTTTCTAGCTTCGCCTGCATCGATTGCGATCAAGTTGACATGTCCAGCGACATTCATGTTGGACGTACCTGGATTTTGATGCGGCGGATATCTTGCCCCCGCCACTCTTGCTCGCGCTGAAGATCGTCTGTCCGCCACTGACACTCTTGCTCACGATGCCGTATGTCCTCTCTTCGCCACGTCGACGAGTTACGTTGGTCGTATGTCCCGATGAGGCTCTCGAGCATGAGGGCAGACATGGCAACTTCTCTCGAGCTTGTAAACTCTCAGTCGTGAATGCACTGTTGCAGGCGCATGACTACAGCCAATCAAATTCACATAAGCTTGAATTATAGCCAATCCAAATGTAGAATCTTCGCAATCATATTGCTTAGACAAAATCAATGCAAAATGATTATTTCCGTGCATCATAATATCTATACATTTATCAGGCCAAGCATATCGAGATATATTATATTACATGGGCACCAATTCTGCAACGTAGCCAAATTAGAGTTCACAAGGTTCGCGTCGCACCATGGCAAGCGCCGTGATCGGGTCTTTGATCGGGACGTATGACTTGAAGATGGCGCAGCAATGGCGTGATGATGACATTCGTCACCGAGAGCAGGAGAAACAGTGGCGAGAGGACGATATCACGCGGGCATTCAAGTGGCGAAATGAAGACGTCGAGCGCGAGAAAAGATTGAACAAGCTGGAAAATGAACGCCGGATCACAGACGCGCGCAGCGAGCAACTCTCGGCTGTGTCAAACTTGTCAGCTCTCCTGGGCGGGTTTGCCATGGTGGCGAATGTCGAGATCAGTCTGCCGGATGACGTGTCGAACATTGTTATGTTCTTTTATGGGACCACGAGTGCCGCTGTAATCTTGTGCATGCTCTGCTGCATGCTCATGTGCACACTTCTTCTCCTGGCCATTACCCAGTACGCGATTTTTACGAGGTTTTTCTTCATCTCACGATTACTAGGTATGCATCACAAGAGCTTGAGTCTGATTTGCGGCAGCTCACGTTCGACCAACTCGACGTCGAGTCTCCGTTCTACGAGTGGTGGCTCAAGCGGTGCGAGCAAGACTGGCTTCTCGCTTACAAATTCTTTCGCATGGGCATCTTTCTCTTCCTTTGCACAGTGTCGTGGGTCGGTTGGGTCCAGTTTGAAAAAACAGCAATTGCCGGCATCGGCATGACGGCCATCGCCGCCCTTTCGTTCATCTTCTGGCAAGTGCGCATCGAAAGCAAGTGGCGATACCTGCTCTACTTCCCTGAGACCAAGATCCCGTCAAGCATGGGTGCTCACCACCAGTACCCCAACGTTTACGACGGTATCGATCACCGCGCTGGTCGAACCAACTCGATGACAGAAGACTTTGCCATCTTTCACACAGCTTCCCGAAAACCTCCTTCCACTGAAGCATCGTCTCCAAGCGAACCCAACGCAGTGTACGAGCGGTAAGTCTCCGTGCATTGTCCTCGTCCACGTAGTCTCATCCCTCTGACGTTTGTAGAATTCCAACTCCAAAATAATCACGCCAGCACCTGCCGTCCGCTCGAGCAACCACATGAACGCTGGCGAACAAACAACGACTTGCTCGACCCGCCATCCCCTCGTTCTCTAATCCAATGTAAATGAATCCACCTATGTCTGTGTATGACGGAGGCACCCAAAGATCCTATTTGGACTTGCTCTGTTGCAGACTTACAAAGTACACGGCCACGCCATGCTACGCAATGGCAGGATACTGAGAGATGGCCCATGCAATCCAGGTGTACCAAATCGAGGATGGTGCGGACGACTGCCTCGGTGTGGTCGAGGCGAGGGAGGCGCTTGATTTACCTCCCGCCGTTAAAGAGCACGAGGGACGTGAGTTGCGTCGTCGTCGTTGCGTTCGTGTCGATTTTCAAGTCCAGCGCAATCTCAGGATGCACTTCGACGTCGAGGCGGCCAAATCGAATGGAATCTGTGCCGTGGCTACGATCCACAAAGGAAGTGCGACAGCAGTCGAGATGTCGTACGTACGCCAGAGACAAGTCGGCAAACATGGCGTCATGGTAGATGCATTCGTCGCAACTGTCAGCGTGGAAGTAGACGAGCCACTGCCCGTCCGATATGTTGCTACGAACATGTTGGTCAACGAATGAACCAGTCAACGTGGTATACGTCTGCGGGCCCGCGTACTTTGGATACGGCACAGCGAAGAAAATTGCTATATCTAGCATGCAAGTCCATGTTGGGAAGGTGGAGGTAGTTTACCGAGGGCAGCGACAGTGTAGCATGCAAAGAGCGTCGTGTCGAGAAGGTAGAAGAGTCCCCCAATCGCTCCTTTCGAGTACAAAAATGTCATCGCGGTGGCGCCGTCTACAGTTGCTTTCTTGCGATAGTTGAAGACGATGAAGCTGACCAAGATAAGGAGTACTTGGTGTTCCTGTTGAGCAGCCCATCGTGACGCAAAGGCCACGAAACGTAGTGCATGGTCCAACTTCGTACCCGCGTGAGGCCGAGCCAAGATTCTCTTTCCTTGAGCCTGTCACTTGTGTGCACTATCGGGCAGCAGCATAGCTCAGGAGCAACAGGACATTCGCGATCGTGTGGCCATGTACAAAGAGCCCGACGACCGCCATGGTGTATCTTGATGCCAAATGGTCATCGTGGATTGGCTACAATTTGGAACATCTACCATAATTCCACCAATCCGAGCGCCTTATTCATGAATTACTCGTGCAGCATTCACACCCCTCGCACTCCGACATTCCTCCACGGCAGCAACATCGTCATGAACACCGACGGCAGCCACATCCAACCGCTCGCCATTGGCGTCGGTGTGCTCGGCCTTATGATATTGATCGTCCTTGTTACAGCATCCTCGCACCAGCGCGAGCAGTTGCAGTACATGGCGAAGAAAGCATTCCGTACCAAACGAACGGAGAACTCGTCCCGCAACGGCCATGGCATCGACACGACTCCAGGGACCCTCCCGTCCTTTGCCAAGGCTGCGGCTGAAACAGGCAATGTTCGCATGCTGCAGCGATGGGCGAGTTCCCATGGACCTGATATTAACTCTCGAAGTGCCGACAATTTGACTGCCTTACATTACGCCGCTCGCGGCGGACATACTGAGTGCATGAGGTAATACCTCGTTTACGATGCCTACACAACAAATCTTGATGCATGTCATGGCCTTGCTGCATAGGATATTGCTGGAAGCGGGGGCGAACCCGAACGTGGAAGATGAGCGGCATGTGACACCTCTCCACCTAGCCTCAGTCGGTGGGTTTGGCCTTGGAGTCAAACTCCTTCTGGACAACAAAGCCGACCCGTTCGTAGAAGACGCCGACCACAACACGGCCCTCTCAGCTGCGGAAGCTGGAGGGAATGTCGGTTGCGCTCGGTTGCTACAGCGGGCAATGGCCAAAGCTACCGTCGCCGACAACGGACCCTCCTTGACCCTTCGCGGAGTCCAAGGTGACAGCGCCGTTTAACTCGTCTACATGATCTATCTCTTTTGCATTGCAGTCGTCCAAGTCGGGTTGAGGGAGACCATGTCGGGGGCGCTAGTGGTCTCCCGCACAAGCGCAACACGCTCGATTATATCAAGCTGGACTTCATTCTGGCATCAAAGCCGACGCGTCTCACCTAATGGTGCTGCCTGCAAACGCACACCCCATTGTTAGCCCGTCGGCACCCTCGACAGAGTGTTCTGCTGCAGTGGGTGCAAGTTCTGGTTTTTCTCCGAAAGAGGCCAAACTTCTTGGAGCATCCCTTGCAAGTGGCTTCGGCATCAGCAAACTCCAAGCTGTCTCGATTCGTCCACAACGACGACGTTGACATTATGCTTGGCCGTTCCATCAACGACACGTCACTGTCCCGGTGGCCGCTGCTTTCGCTGTCTGTACTGCTGGTGTAGCTGCGTTGTTTTTTATGAAGGCGTGTTGCCTGCAAAATGGTGATAGAACGTACTATGGAGTGATGAGGTCGCACCGGTGGTATGTCTTTTGCCTTGATCGGCTTCGACGGAGGGCAAAACGTGATGTCTCGATAGTTCCGCCACAACACCAACACAACGTGTAGGATTCCCAGAAAGGCCAGTATTCGCAAAGCAGTCGGTAGTGCACTCTCCATGCGAAATCGAAGCGAATATATCAGGGACAGTGCGCGATCCGACCATGCCAGACATTCCGGGGACACTCGGGCCAATGAGTATGACACAGTCGACCGGTTCAATGATGGGACGGAAGAATTCAAACGAAGGCGGTAAGTGTATTCGCTTCGAACGTCGACCTGGGTGTCGTTCCACACAAACGGAACATGCGACGGCACTTGGATTTGAAGCACAGGAGTCCACTCCCAGTTCATGTTGTGATCTGGTCGACGCTAGATGCAAGAGCTTCAGGCATGGAGGACTGTGGAGCATCCAAATACCTCAACCATGTACGTCACGTTTGTCTGAAGCAACGGCAAGGAAGCCCACTCCAAGCTGATTTGATGGCAAGAACGCGTTGTTGTGATGGGTGGTATGCTCGCTCCTGCAACATGTTTGACGCTTGAGCAATACAAACTCAAGCAGTACCTGAATGCAATAGCACTGTGGTTTCCAGCCATTCCATGACACCCCATGCATGAGCGTGTTGCCACAGCACCGCCCCGCGCAAGACTCGATCGACGACCCTCATCTTTGTCCGGCCAGACCAAGGCGCAAATGCGTAATGGAGGGTGCGACAAGTGGCGTGCTTCACTTTGAAAAAAAGGTACATTATCCGGACACCTGATTTTTCGTGTGGAAATTTGTATTCAAATTCTAACGGGCCCAGAGACAGTAGTACTAGGTGTAGGGAAGATACTTTTAGCAGTACTAGAAAGGCGGCCCAGACTCGAATGTGCAAACTTTCCTTGTCGATCGCCTCCCGTGAGGACACTAAAGCATCTGAAGACTTCATAGTCAATGAAGTTTGAATCAAAAGGTCACACTCCTCTTCCTGAGAGTCCATCAGTTCTTCCATTAACATCGAAGTGTCGGTCCTTGCCCCATCAGAACTACTAGTAGTAAGGCTCTTGCCAACTTGCAAGTGCCACGGAATTCGCAATTGTCGCATCCGGAAACGCTGAAGCCATGAAAAATTTGAATTTTGTCCGAGTCATTGCACTCCCAAGGCGAGCGCGTTTGAGGGGAGACAGAATAGATCGGTGTTGCATGGGCCTCATGGGACCTTCTCTGCATCGATGCGATGTCCACCCCATCTTTGCGCGCGGATTTTTCGTGCATTGCTCGTGCGTGACTCCTCACGACGTTTCAACAATCCGATCCTCAACTTGTAGGGGGTATGCGAATTTTGACGGGGGTACCCAAAAAGTCTTGTTTGTCTTGAAATTCATGAGGGTGGCGTGTAGGGGGTGGTCGAAATCAGGTCATTTCTTTGTATACCCCCCATGGATACGAAGGTCGGTGCCTCCCCAGTTGTCGAATGAGATGGCTGAAACTGGCGAAGCGACCAAGTACGGAACCATGGCGGCGCCACCAGCCACGATCCAAGTCAAGTCGTCCACGTTGGAGAAGCCGCGCCGCGCAGGCTCTCGTATGCTGAGCCTCCGACATCTTCTCGACTTCCCTCACGCCGACTCAAAACGTGGGTTCAATCCGTTTGTGTACCAGACGCCGACGATGTCCATGTACGAACGGGTCAAGACGGTCGTCATGTGCGTGCTTCTCGTTCCCGTCATTCGCATGCTCTTGGTTATGGTGCTTTTGGTACCAATTGTGTTTCTTGCGTTCGTTGGAACGCTGGGCCATTCGCATCAAGATAAGGACGGCCACCTTGTCCCCATGGCGCGATGGCGGCGATGCATCGTGTACCCCATTCGATGGTTCATCCGCGCGATCTTGTTTGTGTTTGGCTTTTACTATATCAAAGTTACCCACCCTCCGAAATCCAGCCCTCGCAAAGTCCTGACGCAATTGATTGTCGCCAACCACATCGGTTTTATCGACGGCCTCTTCTTTGCCGCGCACTGTTTTCCCAGGTACGCCGCTCCATCATCCTGTAGTGCTCTCACCGTCGGGTTTACTCTTGCAGTGTGGCTGTTCGAGGGGACATGGGCAACGCCCCGATCATCGGCCCGGTGCTCCGTGCGATGGATCCTGTTCTGATTGACCGCAAGTCCGCCGCGGGGCGCAAGAAGGCGTTCACAGACATCCACGACCATATGAAGGACACACGTTTCCCTCCTCTGTTAATCTTTCCAGAAGGCACAACATCTAGTCAGGATTACTTGACCAAGTTCAAGAAGGGTGCTTTTGCCGCCGGTCTCCCTGTGCAACCAGGTTCGTCACCGTAAAGCCGAGCCATCCATGACTCATATCTGCATCCTCTAGTGCTTCTCAAGTACCCGTTCCGCTATTTTGACATTAGCTGGCCTCCGGGAGTGTCTGCTGGCTACCTCCTCTTCAGGATGCTGTGCCAGGTGTACATGCCGATGGAAGTGACGTTTCTACCAGCATACGAACCCTCACCGACCGAGCAGTCGTCCCCCGATCTTTTTGCCGAGAATGTGCGACAATACATGGCCAAGCCGATGAATGCCAAGTGCACCAACCACACGTTCGAAGACGTGCGGCTGTTGTGCCAAGTAGGGTCGTACGGGCTCCAGAACGTGGCGCCGGTCACGGACGTTGGCGAGATATTTCAGCTTACACACCTCACGGATGATGCAATTGCGGCGCTTGTGGGCCACTTCGCCGCAGCCGACACAAACGGCGACGGCAAGATCAGCTTGGAGGAACTCACGGCGCGCTTTGATGAAGAGCCCGAGTTTGTTGCGAGGTTGTTCCAATTGCTGGACCAGGACGAAGACGGCCAAGTGGACTTTCGAGAGCTCTGCATGGGCTTGTCGACTCTGAACCAAGCGCAGCAGGACTCGGTGACCCCCACGCACTTGTACCGCCTTGCGTTTCACCTGTACGACTCGGACGGCAGCGGCCACTTATCCAAAACTGAGCTGAAAGCCATGCTCCGGATGACGCGAGCCATGTCTGGGCTGCAACAAGACTCGGCGGCAGTGGACGCATTGGTCCAGGTAGGCCATGTCCTGCGTTTGCGACGTTCGGATGTTCTTATGATCCCAATGAGACGTGTAGTCGTTTGATGTGGATGGAGACGGGCAAATTTCGTTGCAAGAGTTTGAAAAGATGGCCCAGGTCCATCCCGATGTCCTCAAGCAAGTTGTGGACAGCCTCAAAGTATTACGGACCTTGGATAGCGCCGAAAACGATGACGCTCTCGCGGCCATTCCATGATGGATGGAACATTGTGCAAGTTGATAACGACCAGGGTGATGAAGAATGGGCGATTCTGGCGCAGCGTGACCGGAATCACCCGACATGGGGCCGACGTCACTTGAATATACTCGGGACTGTGCAGTTTCTCTGCAAATGTAGATCTCGCGCGACGCCCCGACGACAAAACGAAAGTCTGCAAGGAGCCACGAGTTCATGGCATCCAAGCAACAGTACAGCATGTCTGCATATCGAGAACTCCTCATCGCGCATGAACAGGACGACGACGGAGATCAACGGCTAAAATGACTGTTGGTCTTCAACCGTGGTTGTGATGCAGCCGACAAACCATGCGCTCCCATGTGCATTCATAGATGTGACTATACTGCGATGGCTTCACTGGAGCCAACGAGGCAGAACCCGTTGTCGTCGATCTCGTCCAGTTCAGACGACGGGGGAGCGCTTTCGTCGAGTTGGTTGTCGACGACGAGTGCGGGCGGAAGCAACCCACGGCAGTGCTTCAGAAACGCTGACATCGATACAGAAATGCCTGGGTGGCGATGGCGCTTGGATGGTCGGCGAATTCGCATGATTTTGTACTTGAGAGTCGCGTCGAAATGACCTAGACAAGACTCGTCAAAACTTATCTGCATCGCGAGAGACATCCGTACTTTTGGAGTTGAGGCCGTAGAACTGGCACGTGGCATGAATAAGGAGGCGATGGAAGGGAGACTCGAGCAGCGGGACGACCAATACTGTCTCGGAGTGCTTGGCTGGCTTGGACCGGGTACCGGCCGCCTTCGCATCGCGCACCATTGGTGTCACAATATCAATCGTCATGGGTGCCGCGAGCCAGCTGGTAAGCCTTGGCGAAAGCACGTTGGCTGACTGGACCTCATTCCACTATCGAGTGTCGATCACACGCGTCGAAGAATTCCCTCATGTGGACGGAACCTGAACGAAATGTACGACGAAGCTTTCCACGGCTTCAATGAACTCTTGCATTGATACAAAGGACGAAAGAAGGATCGAGCGCGCTCGCTTATCAACGCGCGTAAACATGTCGTCCGCCTCTGTGGAAACAACATGAGTATCGAAAAGAGTCAGGATCGAAGGGAATGGCACCAGTCCAGTCAGTGGCGGGTTTGGCGCGATGGGTTCCGTTTTGCTTGGCGTTGGTGCGTGCATGGGTTGGCTCCTTGACGTTGCGAAATGCCTCTGCGAGCTCTTGGTTTTCAGGGCGCGCCAACTCTTCAAAGTTGCTCTTCCAATCCACAGACACGTTCATGTGCTCCATTAACTCCTCCAACGTCGCCGTCGCGGCGCGGTTACCAAAGTGGTGGTCGTTGAAATATCTGTCCAGATTCGTTCACACAAAGATGACGATTTGAGTTTACGAGTGCTCACCGATTCTGGCTGCGTTTGCCAATGGGCGGCGGCTTGTTTGCAATGTACGACGGCACCATCCTCTGTTGGGCCGATCCGATCATGTTGAGAGCAATCTGCCGTTCCCGCGCGATGTTAATATGCGTTGGATTCAACTTCGGCAGCTTGATGGTGGGGCGACCAAGAGGTGCCACCGGTTGACCCAAACCAATCACATGGCTGATGGGACCTTCGGATCCAGGTTCCGAAAAGCAGTCGGACGAGAGATAGTCTTCATGCTCCACGAATGAGAGATCACTTGCAATGCTCGAAGGAGACAGGGGTTGGGCCATGTTGATCGTGGACGATGCGGTAAGGAAGTGGGCTCGTCCCGGTTGCGCAGTCTCAGGAATTCGAAATGACGCCGCCACTGTTTTGAGTGTAGGTGCACGCATTCGGTTTGACTGCATATTTGTATGAAGAATCTTGAACGGGAACTGCTGTAAAGTTGGTTTATTGTTGCATTTTTATACTCCTACTAGTCCCTTCTATAGGAATTTCAAGTAGAATCGATATTCTCATGAAAAAAACTGCAATGATTTTACGCAGTAAAAAGATTAGGAAAAATCTTTACAAATTGTTACAGAACCTATATACAATAATATAAACGTAGCTGGCCAATCAAATCCACCAGATCCACCGGATAAGCGTCTTCTTCGTATTTAATAGGCAAATAAGTACCTTCGATTTTGTAACACTGGGGTCAATTTAAAAGGTCCGAGAACATCCGGTTGCGTCAAATCTTCATCACGCTGTGTCGGCAACAATCATGCAAGCGGATGCGATCGACGTGCAATCGACGGACCTGGAAGTGCTGAGCCGACTGGCAACCCAACAGCGCAGGAACGTCCTTGCGAATCTTACGCAGTTGCGCAAGCACGATTATGCATACCTGCGAAGTCTGCATGCCGATCCCCATGACAGTTACTTTGTACAACAGACAACCCACGTCTCTGTTGATATTATCCTCACGATACACGGATAGCTCAACATTGCTCGGCTGCACGAAACGAGCCTTAACTTATCCACCGCACTTGGCCCCGAAAACCACGAGAAGCGGTGCATGCTAGCCAGTATATTGTTGTGTGCTGACGTGCAATCCATGCAGATGCGAGCAACTGTACTACTTGGGTCTCAGCCTTGGCCGACTCCTAGCGACAGCATGCTCGTCATCGCAACTTATCTTTGACGGTTGCCAGCTGATGGACGAGCTAGACTTCTACTTTTCAGCCCCCAGCATCCAAAACATGGTTCGAACGTCCGCCGGAATTGATGGTGATGCATCCATTGCATCCATCCTTGTAGAAACTCGTCACCGTCGCCACCAAAGTGCCATTCTACGAGCGGCCACGCACATCCTCCGCTGATGACATCGCGCATGCAGAGCCGTATCGCACCGTCGTGCGCAAGTGGAACAATAAACCTGTATATCAGCGCCTCGTCACGCCCCACATCGTACCCTTTCCCAACTCGTGTTACCGTCATCCCTCACCTCATTGGCAGGCATTTCCCTTGGACTATTGCCTCTTGGTCGTGTCTCTCTGCGACGTCCTCACGCTCGTCTACGCCAAGCTCCAGGGAGAGCCATGCAATCAAACCCACGTGTTCCAAGCTCTACTTCGCCTCGACGAGAAGCTGAAGGTACGACGGCGCCGCCCTCGTTTGTCCATCCCTCATGTTCCCATCGCATCCCAATTGTTTGTTGACGAGATTTCGACGCCTGATGGATGCTTAGAAAGTCGTGCTGGACCACATCAAGAAGCACTTGAGCGAGGTCGCGACCGACATGATCAAAGACCAAATGCAATCCTTGCGTCCGGTGCCACCAGGTCCACGTCGAGCCTGACAATGCTCCAAGCAAGTACGACCGACTCATTCGTTGGTACACTGCGAGCGACCTCGATTCAGAAACGTCATAGGTTTATAAGTCAAACAGGACACATTAAGGAGAAGCTACAGGTCGACTCGCGCCGGCCCGTCCGACGATGTTGTGGTCATCCCGATATTGCCTGTGTGGTGGAACGACCTGGAGCTGTTCATGCCCGCCGACGACGACATCACGTAGGTCGATGTCGACGCCGCATGAGGTCGTTGGAGGTAGTGGCCTTGCTGCACCTTGAGTTGTTGAAGGTACGCATGGATGTCCTGAATGCGGGGACGGTCTTCGGGGTGGTAGCTTAAGCACTGGATCGCCAGGTCCATCAAACAGGGCGGGCACTCCTTCGTAAACGCCGGTCGGATGTCTCCCGCCACGACCAGCATCGCGAGCCGGGTGCGCACCACATTCACGTCTATCAAGTCTCGGCACGAGTAAACAAAGTCCAAGTTCGAGTAGGGCACTTCCGCCGTGTCCAATTCCGCCATGAGCACGCCAAGCGAGTACACATCGGCCTTTTCCGAGTAGTAAACCTACGCATCATGCACCCACAAACGTCAGAGTGATCTCCCACCCTTCGGGCTGTGGGGAGACGATGGATGCACAACACATCCGAAGGAAATGACGTACCCCCTTGAGCACCTCTGGCGCAATCCATGCGACGGTGCCGACTTCCGCTGTCATCGTCATGTCGCACGTCTCGCGCGACACCCCAAAGTCCGTCAACTTTGCCGTGTAGTCGGCATCCAACAGGACGTTCTTCGCCTTGAGGTCGCGATGGATGATGGGCGGTGCGATCGAGTGGAGGTAGGTAAGGCCCTCGACGACATCACACAACACGGACAGCTTCGAGACGGGGGTCGGCGCTTCCAGGATCAAAATGTCGTGGTCAGTGTCGATCACGCCACTGTCGACGTCGGTCGGCTCGGTGCTGGTAAGACTTTGGTTGCTCCCCATGGACGGCGGTGCAAATCCATGCAGTAGTTTGTGGCGAGGAGGGCCAGGCTTGAACGGTGCGGCCGATGATGAATCGACATGCCACGCGAACCCAGTGTCCCGCGTGAGGAAGGTCCACAGGTCGCCGTGCTCCATGAACTCTGTGAGAGAGCTCAGGTTTTGCAGCGTTGTCCAAGCAAACCCGACAAACTGAACAATGTTCTTGTGATGCAAGCGCGAACACAGCCGGATTTCTTCCATGAAGTCTTCCACGCACTGCGCATTCGCCGCCTTCTCCGGCAGCATTCGCTTCATCGCGACAGTCGTCGTCGTTGGGGCCAAGGATGGCGACATCTTTGTGACAGTTGCGAGATGCACCATGCCGTATCCCCCACGCGCGAGAAGGTCATGGCGCTCAATGCAGTGCGCCGGGACAAAAAACCCCGCGAGCGACGGGTCGAACCGGATGTCGTGCACGAGTTTGCCTGCATCAACGAGGCCGTAGTAGTTGTTGTCGATCTCTTCAAACCACCGCTGGTTCTTGGCCTTCTTCAGTGCACGTCGCTGGCGGATCCAGCACCCAACGGCCAGCACGACCACGAACGTAGCCACAAGGATCATTGCGATCGCTATGGACGACAGTCCTTCCGTCGGCAGCGTCGTCTCGACAATGATACACACGGGGTACTTGTCCCAAAGAAGTTGCACGGCGACGCCGGCAGAACAGTTCGGCGCCCATGGCTCTCCGAGAGGTAGCACCGCCGACACAGGCAAGGCTGGCGTGGTTGTGGGCGGTCGGCAAGTCATGTTGGCGAGTCCGACAAGGAGAGAAAACTGGGACGGAGACGCTGAGAACGAGCGGATGGGGTTGCCTTCGAGGCACAGCGTCCTTAGCGTTGCGGGAAAGTTCGCCATCACGGTGGTCAGTCGATTATGCTGCAGATTCCTACGTCAAAATGCATCGTGAGCTCAGGAGTGCCATGACTTCTTGTACAATTCAATGAGCGAAGCCGGCCACGTTGCCGGCCATTCTGCAATCTGGTTGTGTGAGGCGGACCTATGGCATTGCATGAGCGTCTCGACTGCGACGTGCCAGAGTACAGGAAGGAGAGGCTGGGGGTGTTGTTCCAGCCAACATCGGAGAGGGTAGTGAGGTGGTTCGAGTCAATGTCAAGGCGGGCGAGGGAAGCATGGTTGGCCAGCGACGGGAGTTGAGTGATGCGATTCGACTTCAACGATCTGGGAAGCGGTCCATGAGACGAGAGCTTGGTTCGATCACCCGACGACGGGCAACGCTGAAACGTACAGCGTGGTCAGGGCTGGAGCGGTCAAGTTTGAAAAGGCTACGAGGCGGTTTTCGTCGACAATGCTAGAGCGCAGACATCTGGATGAGACCAGGATCAAGTCCTTTCAACGCCATGCACTGTACAAGGTCTTGAGCCCCCTCGGGAGAATCGTGTTGGAGATGTCGACAAGCGAGTTGTTCTTGAGATTTCTACGCGATCGTGCGTGAGTCGTATCCATGGACGGCGAAAGTTACAAGGTCGCGGCTTGGCTCACGCCAAAGTACGAGTTGATGCTGAGGTCGTTCGACATGGCGACGAACCCGAGGTTCTGATAGATGCTACGGGGAGCCGCCACGTCAAGACAGCCATCACGACGAGTTGAACGTACTTGGTCGTGGCGTTTGCGGGCAGATCTTCGAGGTACTCTACGGGGGGATTGCCCAAGCGGTCGTTCAAGATGGACGTTTCGAGCGGCGTGGTCGTGAAGTTGATCGCATACAGCGTCCCATTCGACCTTGTGCGCACACACAGAGCGTTGTAGTAGTTTTCGCCAGGGCTAAACCGCGACGAGGTGGCAATCCTCCTGTATGAAATAATGTAGTCCGACCCGCAGTTGGTCGTGAGCGTCCACAGCTCGTACGGCTTGGAATCGAGGTCGATCGGTGTGAGCGAGGGTACGAAGATGAACGGTTGGAACGGGTTGTCTGTCGGGCTGGTTGGACGCCGCGGCATGTCCGGCCGCGCGGTCCGCAGTGGTCCCATCCAGGACAGGTACAGAAACACTGTTACCATCCAGCGCTCGCCACCCATGAACGAGGCACGCATGACCGATCGCCAAGGGAGCCAGTGCCAACGCCCCAGCCTACCTCGCCACGTCAAGGTCGAGGCGATCATCCGGATTCAGTGACAAAAGCGGGTAAAATTGCCCATTCCACCGACAAAAACGGACGAGTTTGCCGACTGGCGGCAGGCGCCTGTCCACGGAAATGTCTCGGAACGTGGGATCGCAAGTTGGTGAGATATTCCCCTATTGTTGCTTGCCACCCATATTGTGTATGAGTTGTTTTTGTTGTGTATGTGGTGAGATATTTGACTACGAAAAGCCAGCCCGAAGGCAGTTGGCAGGGTCCCACGCTACACGCTTCGATGGCAGAGTGACTCGGCCCACAATTGTATGCGGGCAAGACGAACGATGGTGCGAGGGCTCGTGTGGATGGCCGCGATGGTGGTCGCCATGGTTGCGGGCCAGGCCAATTTCGACAAACCTGCATGCGACGTCAACCGAGCCTTCGTCCCGACTCTGGGACTGCCGATGCTGACCGCACGATGCGAGAGCCTGTGTTCTGCTGAGTCGATTGCCTTACTCAAGAAGGCCTTTACTACCCCGCCCCCGTATTGCCTTGTTACAAGCGGAAAGATTTACTCGGCTCAAAACACGACCCAGGATGACTTAACCCTCGTGGACGTGAAGAAAACGATGCCGATTGCGCACGTCGAAGGCCTACCTACGACTGAGGTTTCCATGTAAGTCAATCGAGCGTGTGCTCTTAACCCATTCATCATCATGCGCGTCTGCCTAGATTCCTCAACAACATTGGACTTGTCTCGATGAACAAGACGTTGGCGTACTCGCCGTCTGGCGCAGACATCCCCGCGACAACTCTGTACGTCTGCGTTCATCCGACTGGTCATCTGCTCACTGCGCATCGTCACCCAGGGACGTATCCAACAACGCGCTCACTTCACTCTCCGACACAACGTTCCCCTTCCGCCTCATGGCCTTGTACGGACCGCCTCGTCCATCGCCCCATGAGGACCTTTGCTGTTGCGTAGGATTGCCGACAAGAACAAGCTGACCGACTTGGCCAACATCACGGCGCCGTCTCTTGCAGTGTTGTGCGTCCCCGTTTATTTCACGGTTGTGCACCTCATCTCTATACAGGCAGGTCAAGTCGAACGAATTCACGGCCGTCCCGCAACTCACGCTCAAAGCACTGTCGTCGCTCATCCTCGACACCAATTCCATTAAGTCTATTGGCACTCCCTGGCAAGGCATCCCAAATGTTAAAACGCTGTACGCTCGGACCTGCACAAGTGAAGCAAACTACGTTCACTGACTGTGCTCGTAGCTCGCTTGCCAACAACCGCATCTCGGACCTCCCCCCCGTGTGGCCGTCCCACTTGCAATCATTGTTCGAGCCACTGTCATGGTGAATCGCTGCCTCATTTTCGTCGTTGTAGGAATCTCCAAAACAACTCGTTGACCCAAGTCAACCTGACGACGCTGCCGTCGTCGCTCACAGCGCTGTGTCTCGGAGGCAACAACATCTCGATCATCTTGGCCTCGTCGGCGGCGTTCGACGTGCTTCAGAAGCTGACGCAGCCACACATGGTGGGCGACTCGCCGACTGCTTCAGTTTGCGACGCGTCGACCCCATTTGCATCTAAATCCTTGGAGACATCCAAGTGTCCGCCGTCGTTTAAGCTCGAAAAGCTGTGGGACATTTATCCCATTTGCGTCGCGCCATCGCCGTCGTCTGTGGACTCGTCTAAATCGGGGGCTTCGATGGTCGTTGTGTCCGTGGCTTTGGCGCTCATCACGCTCCTTCTCCTCGCGATCTGCATTCAGCGGCGGCGGGCGCGGCTCTCTCCCAACTGGTCAGCTCCCCAGCATTGCATCATGTGCGTGGCTTACACATGGACATAGGTACGAAGAAGTCGACCACAAGTACTACGGCGTCGTGGACGCTGCCCAACTCGACAGCGACGTCCGGTTTGATGAGATGTATGCGCCATTTCACATCCCTGCGCCATCCATTGAGCGGCACCATGTCCTTGCACGCGGCGGGTTTGGCATCGTGTATTTGGCGACGCTGCATCCTAGCCCAGCATATCCGATCATCACGTCACCCATTTCGGTCGCCATGAAGAGGATGTTGCCGGAGAAGGCGAGCGAAGTACACTCTGTCGAGGACTTTATGGAGGAAATTCGACTCAGCGCGCGGTTGTACCACAAGAACATTGTCAAGTTCATCGGGTTCTCGTGGACTACGCTGCAAAATCTGTGCGCCCTGACCGAGTACATGGAGCACGGGGACCTGTGGAACTACATGCAGGCGGCACCGCTCTTTGGCTGGAACATTTCAAAGCAAGTTCATGTCCGTATCCGCGCCGTCAAGGGCCTTTCCATGTTTTCCCAGTCCAGCTTTAACAACTCGATGCTGAGTTTGGACCCGAAGCAGAGCCCCATGACGTGGGTGGACCAAGGCCAGACCCTTCCCGTGTCGAAATTCACTATGCTTTGCGACGTCGTGGAGGCTCTCATGTACCTCCACTCGATGGACCCGCCTATTATCCATCGCGACCTGAAGACGAAAAATGTGTTGCTGAATGGAGTTGGAGTCGCCAAACTCACCGATTTTGGCGTGTCGCGGGAAACTTCTGAAGACACGATGACAGCAGAGATCGGGACGGTCGCCTGGATCGCGCCAGAAGTTCTCAAGGGGGTACGTCGGAAGCGTTGTTATCCTGGACGTTAACACGCTGGTCGTAGATTTATTACTCGGAAAAGGCCGACATTTATTCGCTCGGCGTTCTCATGTCCGAGATGGACACGGCGGAGGTGCCGTACTCCAACTTAGACCAGATTTTCCCCGAGTTTCGAGAACCCATGGACGTTCACACGGCAAAGACACGCATTGCGATGCTCGTTGTGGCGGGAGACCTCCGGCCGTCCTTCACCCACAAATGCCCGTCGTGTATTGTCGACGTTGCGTCCCGGTGCCTGAGCCACGACCCCGACCGCCGCCCTCACGTTCACGAAGTGTGGGATTGGCTCAAGCAGATAAAAAAAGCCATACTTGCCGCCGCCGCCGCGGGAGTTTAATTTATACTTCCAATCTATCATCTTGGGCTTTTTGCTTTGGCAAGCAACCCCGAAAACGAACCTGACGTCCTCATGCGTGTAGAGGGATCGCACGATGCTCTGAAAATTGGACATGTAGCAGAAGCAACCCTCGACGAACGGCCGCATGGAACAAAAAGAACTCGATTAGGTTCGACTCGGGTGCGGCGATGGACTCTTGACACCACTTGCGCGACTATCGGCCGTACTGGCATTGCTAGCAAAGCTGAAGTTGCTGATGTTCGTTTCGCGCACTGACATAATCGAGTTACGGCCCCACTGGTCCAACCCCGCAGTGGACTCGCGAGGTTTCGCGGCTTGGGGGACTGTATGCTCCTTCAACGGCATCCGCGTCATCTTCGGCACGCCTTCCTTGACCTCCAACGTAATGCGCATACTCGTCCCGATAAATTCCTTTGTGTGAACGTGCACTTTTACATCCTGCCGCTCGGCCAACTTGGGGATCACGAGCTGAATGAACCCTTCCAACATCATGGGAGTTACGGACTTGAGCTCCACACCAAGCGGGAAACCACCATGTTCGACATCGCCGCCTTCAAGCACGTTTTGCAGCCATCGATTCATGTACTCGAGTTTCTTTGGATTGCCTTGTGCCCAGTCCGTAAGTAAGCGCTTCCATGGGGTCGACCCGAGCGTGTACGGCAACGGTGGGGCCGTTGTTTTGATTTCATCCCAGTAATCCTTGACCCGACGAGCGCTGCCACGTTTGGGGTTGGTGCCTTCTTTCGACCTCAATCGCTGGATGCGGGTAGCGCTGCGATGGAGCAGCGTGTACGCGTCGTGTTTGGCGGCGGTCATGTCAGCCATCGGCGGTGCAGCACCTGTGCCATTGGTTGGTTTCATTGTACTGTCGTTTGGAGCGGTCAATTCTTTTTGAGACGACTGCGCGCGCACGAGTCCGACGTCTGCCGGGAGGTCGAACAAGTGACAGACAAATCCACGTAGCTTCTCATACTCTTCCTCCAGAAGCGACAAGTACGCGACTTGAGACGCTTCCTGTGACTTTTGGGACAGGTTTTTGACCTTGTCTTCGACTTCCTTGGCTTGGAGTGCTTCCTTCATTTTTCTGTTTTCTTCTTTCAACGCATTGATTTCGCTCTCCTGTCGCGCCACACGCTCCCGCAACGCTTCGTTTTCAGCTACGAGTGTGCCTAGTACCTGCGACGATTCGTCGAAAAGACGGGTCGTGATACTTGCGCGATTCGTCGCACTTTGTGGTGGACTCGACGGGTGGCCGCTGTGGCTGCCCAACGCGCTAGCCTGGTGAGTCGACGACCCACCACCCAATTGAGTCTGCAGATGCAGCACCTTGGACCCTAAAGCCCTTTGTTGCTTCTCCTGTGCCATTCGCTTCAGTAACTTGCGGCGAATGTACGTGTTCCGCCAGAACGATTGGATGATCGAGATCGACGCATTCGTGCGCAAATATTGCTTTCGTTGGCGGTGCATACGCACCACCGATTGAAACCGCGTGGCAGCAAGGACGCGGCGCAGTTGGTGGACCACCTTGCGAGCACCGCGGCCGCGTACGAGCGCCTGAAGTTTTACGACCCCACGGAGCACTCGACGGTACTTGGACCGCTGGACGAATCCCCGCACGCGCGTTTGGACGAGTATGATGGCCTTGCGTTGGTTGAGGAAGTGCTTTCGGGCCAGGAACATCTTGACTCGGGTTTGGATGCGAATGGCAAACCGTCGCAGGGCAAAGCCGCGGCGTTTGTCAAGATCGTCCAAAATACTCTCTCGAAAGTATACTCGACTAAGCCCAACTTGGTAATCCACGACGTGGCCATTCGGAAACAAGTGGGCCATGAGGTCGCCGCATTGGGCCTTGGGTTCAGCGACAAAGTCGATTTCTGCCAACAACCGACTCGCGAGCGCAGGAGGCGCCAAAATTGCATACCGTTTTATGCAGTCGACGTGGGGTAGACGGCTCGGGTACGCTGATCGACTGACGCGAATGGCTTCGATTACACCCGCGCATCGAAGCTGGTCCACGATCGACTCATGATGAAACACATTCGGCTATGGCAATAGCACATAAAAATCCAACCATCTCGTTCAACGAAATAGCTCTTACCGACTTGACCGAATTGGGTTTGATACAGCGCACGTAATGCACGTTCGTGTGGGAAATTTTGTCCATGAGGCGGGCGAGAGATTCCTTAAATTGACTGCCAACTGTGACAGCACGAGTCGCGGCAACTCCTGGCCGGTGCTTCGAGTGGTGATTCGCAGTCAACGATGACGACTGGCGATGGAGCGATCGATGGGTCGTCTCGGTGGGGAACATGGTCCGTACGAGATCCACTGAACTTTCCCCAAGGACTTTCTTGATGTCGGGCAAAAGGGCATCACGATGCTTGTCGAGAAAACCGTTCGTGTCATACAGCACTTTGCCCGCGTAGTGCAAAATGATAAACGCGGACGAGTGCAGGCGTGGAGTTTCGAAGCGCGCGTGGTTGGCCATGACCGCTGACAACTTGTGGGCGAAGGATGCGTCCGTACCGGTGGCGAGACTGCTCTCTTCATTGAGCAGACTGAGCACGCCGAGACGACCTTCAATCAGGTCCAACACGTCCTGGTTATCGGCAAAGTTGACATGGTGCCACGAAATTCCCTCCTCTTCGTACTCGGCCTGAACCGTCTTAAGCACGTCTTGCACAAACTTTTGCTGGAGTTTTTCGTTGGCGTAATTGATACATAGCTGCTCGAACGAGTTGTGCTCGAAAGCTTCAAACCCAAAGATGTCGAGGATCCCGATGAAGTGCGAGAAGTGGGAGACCCCAATCGCGGCGTTGATTTGGTCCACGAGCCACGTAAACATGGACGAGTATAGGGATTTGGCGACAGCGTCGCGGCAGTCGCGGGCTTGGTCGACTGTCATGGGTTTCGAAATAACTTCGCGACCAACGATGACGCTGCGGAACGTGAGTACCTTCTCCAAATTGGTGAACGGAAGGCCCAAAAGGTCTGCAGCGGTCGTCAGCGCAGTCTTGTCTTTGACCTGGGAGGAGTCGACGTCTCCTTGGACCATCTCGAAATCTGACTCGCCCAAATGTAAGATGGCAGCGAGCACCCGCAACAAGTCGAGTTGCATCGAGTCGGCAATGCCAACGATTGTCAGTCCCTCCTTCGTGTCGCTCCACGTGTGTTCCAACTCGATCAGTTTGTCCTGTTGGACGTAGCGGTATTGATGCGACGACTTAAGGTGCAATTGCGGTAATGCTGCGGCTTCGGCGAGCACTTGGTAGAAAATGTGAAACGTTCGCTCGCCTGGAGCTTGGTGGCACACGCGACTCTTCTCGAGCAGGTACGTGTGCGCACGTGCGCCCATGAGGTGGCCTCGAGGGTTGAACTGTAGCTCCGTGAACTTGCCAAAGCGAGACGAGTTGTCGTTGCGCGTCGTGGCGGCGTTCCCAAATGATTCGAGTAGCGGATTCGATTGGATGATGCGGTGGATGATGGACGATTGCGCCGCATCTGAACCTTCCGTGGAAGAAGACAACGTTGCGACGTGGTTCATCATGATTTTGGTCGTCTCGGTCTTGCCGGCGCCCGACTCGCCGCTCACGAGAATCGACTGGTTAATTGTGTGCGTCCGCATGTGAAAAAACGACTCCATCGAGACAGCGTACACGTGAGGCGCCTTGTTTTCTCTGGAACCGTCCATGTACATCTGCATCGTGTCGGGGCTGTACAGACTGAGCCATTGGTACGGGTTCACAGCAATGCAGATCTTGCCCGTGTATGTGTCTAGGACATGAATGAGCAAGGGAAGAGTAGACGGAAGAACATACATGGAAGGTGGCTGAAGAAGCGTTGGCGAAGGTTGTACAAGATCGCGCCTTCGTGCAAGTGGTCGACGGATATCATGTCTTCGAACCCGTGCGTTTTGGACGTCACCTTGTTCTGTAGGGGCAAGCTGATCGTCGTGTTTGTCGTCGAGGATTTGACCGTTCGTGCTTGGATAACATTGACGATATCGGGCTTTGACAGGTCCACAGACACAACTTTGCCCACAAGGGATGCACCCATGGACATGTTCGGCACCGCCACGCCTGTCTCGATATCCTCGATCTTGACTGTAACCAGGGACCCTTCGATGCTCTTCACGGAGGCAGGAAGCCACACGTGCTCTTTATCTGGAATGAAGACCTATGTACCATGCATCACCATTCCATCCATCGTCGCCGTCATCGGCACCACTGGTCATTCATTACCTTGACTCCTTCCATGTTGGTATGAACTGACTGCCGTGACGGAAGAAAACAAAATGGACAAAGTATTTTTACCAATCAGAGGTACTTCATGCTTTTTAAGGACCCTGATTGGTTTAAAAATGGTATTGCAACACCCCGTCGCCGTGTGATGGAAGAGAGCGGCGGCGACGGCAGCACGCGACGACGTGTCATGGAGAGTGCCGTGCAGGGAAGAAGGGCTGTATGATTAAGTGCGAAGGGATCGAACAATTTCATCTTGATAGTTTATAACTTAATCACCCCATCATTCACTCGCTTCAGCGTCGACCTACTTCAACGGACCTATTTTCATTGCCGATCACGGGGTGGGCGCACGGCGTGATGTTCGGACGACATGTCTTTCCCTTTCGATCGATTCTTTGGCATGACGACGATTCGCAACGTGCAGTCAACGACCGTCTTCGAGAATACATGCACGTTTAGGTCAGGTCTGTGTTCCTGGAGTGCTGGAACCAAGATCCTGGAAAAGCCTTCGATGACTTCCCTCGACAAAAATGAGAGCTCAACTCCAGCAGGGAACTGCGCGGTCGCAGTCGGCCCAACAGTTCCGCCGAGGAGCATGTAGCGGATCCAGGACGACAAGTACTTGAATTTGTTGGGGTTCCCGTTCGCGTATGCATCGAGGAGACTCTTCCACGGCTCGTCGAGCATGGAAACATTCTGGACCTTTATTGGGGTGTCGGAATTTGGATGAGGATGCCATTGCCGGTGAAACCTGTACAGGTCGTGGTATTCGTCGACGAGGTCCACGTCGTCTTCAGACACATCGTTCATGGCGCTGTCGACCATGCGAAGCATGGCATCGTACGCATCTTCCATCAGAATAATCTGCATTTCGCGGCGGTCAAAGTCAAACGTTTCGTCGGTGGTCGGCGGCTCTTCCAAGACCACTGCTGGGTGGCGGGACACCATGCGCTGGCGGTACAATGCCCGCATTTCCTTGCGCTTCAAACGAGTCTGCTCCATGAGAAGCTCTTCGATCTCCATCTCCTGAGCATCCACACGTGCTTGAAGGTGCAAGTTCTCGTCAAACGCCGCCCGCGCCGCTCCCTCAGTTCCCATGTTGATAGAGACAATGGCGACGGCGACGACCCTTTTCCGACTCGCTCATTTTATACTGTCAAGTGTTCACCATTTCTAAAATGATCTAATGTTACATTTCATTAGCATATGAGTTTCAATTTAATCGACTCAAGGCAACATAAATTGAGACACATGATACGTTCATTTTTAGGTTAGAAATTGGTATTGTGCAGCTCCTTCGATTCAGCCAATCACGAGCTTGACACGTCGATTTGCAAAACACGCCAGAGAGCGCAAGGGTCGTCCGTCACTTGCACATTCACAGTCAACGACATCGCCATTCACAGTCAACGACATCGCCATGGGAGGCATCCATACCTTCCATCAGCTCTGTATGAGCTTGTGCGCGCTCGTCGGGATTGGCGGTGCAGGCTACGCTGTCGCCACGACTTCCTTCGACTTCCACGCCAATGCTCTGCAATCGTCGATCGTCCAGATTCTACTCCTGGGAGGCCTCTTTGCCCTATCGTTCCTCCTGTTCCTGGCCACCGCGCTTGGAGCAGCACTGCCTGTTAGGTGGTTTGGCATGATGGGAAGCTTCACTGGCAGTGGAATCTACGCCATCTACCTCGGGCTCCTCGTATCCCATCACGTTGACAACATTGTTGGCACTACCGGCACCTTCATGTGCATCGCCGTGGGCATTGCCAGCGCCTTGTACGGCCTTGCATGGCGTGAAAAGGACAGCTCTGGTTACTCTGCATTTGTGTAAACAGCTTTAATAACCTCGACTCTACTTCGTGTTTAAAATCCCTGGGAGAGAGCCTAGTGACTACGACGCATCCTGTACCCCAAAAGGTACACTACTACATTCCCTTCAATCGTGTAAAACGACGATGGAAGCTACGTGGTACAGCGTTGGTGGTGTCGGTGGCTTTCACTTGGCCCACCAACTCCTCGCGTCGACGTGTGCCGTCATCACCGTCATCGTCCACGTCTGGCTTCTCGCGGTTCTCCCGTACACGTTTGAACTGCGCGCGACGATATTTCCCTTGTGCTTGTACGCTTACCACATTACATTGGCGGCCTTGCTCATTCTCGCAACGGTCGGCGGGATGAAGGCTCCAATTCGATGGTTTGGTCTGATGGCGTCGTTCCGTGGCAGCGGCATCATGGTCATGTACTTTGGGTTGACAGCCCTGCATTACATGCCCGACATGACAGTTGGAGTCGTCGCTGGTTATTCGTGCCTTGGCGTTGGGCTGATGTTCGCCGTTGTCGGTCAGCTCCACCGGGAAAGATCGTCGCAGTACTACACGCCGCTTGTGTACATGTAGCGGCTCAGGAAGTTCGAGATCATGAACCGTACACACCCATCCACGGCATCGCCGGTGGAACTAGCAACGAATAATATATTCAACGAAACGCAACTGCCTTTTTGCGGGCATTCGTTGGCAGCTTGGCCTTGCCACCTCCAGCCACGGTGCTGCTCTTGGTCGAGTCTTTTACTCGCGCACGCATCTGGAGCAGCACCTTCTCGACCGCGTGGACCTGAGATATGGAGCACTGTACACGAGAAAGATCTAGCTCAGCAAAGCGTTTCACCAGTGCGCCAAACACGTCGTCCGACGGCAATGCCCGGTTCGCTTGAGAACGAATTGTGGTGTCAACAGCAATATCATCGGCGAGACCTATCGTGACGGCCTCTGTCGCCAACGCCGCGACAGTTGCGTCCACGGCCTTCTTTGCAGCCACCGCTTCCACTTGCGCCAGTGCTGTCTTTTGCTCGGCGAGGATAGCCTCCTTTTCTGCCGCGATTCCGTCGGCCGATGAAGCTGCATCAGGTGTTTTCTCACGAGACCTATGGTGTTGGTGCGAGATGCCGCGAACTGCTCTGCGCTTCTTGACTCGTTCCATTAGTCGAGCATGTTCGAGAGATTGCACACAGTCAAGTTCGTTGGCTAAAGCCGCCAGCATCTGCTTGTGTGTGGCCTGTAGCGTCGTGAGATGGGCGACGTGTGCTACAGCACGTTGCTTGGCAGCCTTGGCTCTGCGCCGCGCAACCATTCGAGTCAGGCGCACAACCGCCAGCAACTCAGCTTGATGATCCTGTCCTAACTCGTCCTCGGGATCAATGGGTCCATCGTCGTCTTCCAGCTCAAGCATCGGGGGAGGGGCGCCAACGGTCTGCGTCCACTTGCGCAAGACAGCGCGAACTTGACGCTGGCGCCGTTCATTCCGCATGGTCTCCATTTCGATGGCGTGTGCTTCTTCTAGCGCCCTCATTCGCTCTGCATGTTGTCGGGTGAGCGCCTGCGATTCTTTAGCAACGGCGGCCGCCACTGCCGCCCCCACTGCGTCCGCATTCGATGGGACATACGTTTGAGCATGGTTGAGTGCAAGCCACTGATGAAGCGTTGGTGGAAGCCGCGTTTCCACCGCAACGAGGCGCTCCACAGCATGGAGCTTAGACCAGAGACTGGCGTGGATGCGAGTGGAGTGGAGCGTAGGGTGCAGTATCATGGTCGATGACAAAGTCGACGACGATGGAGAGTCGTCGCGGACACAGCACATGGCACATAGGAGGGTTGCTTCTTGGCGCTTCGCTTCGTCGTCCAACGCAGCCTCCAAGCGAGCTTTCCCTTCCGCGTACGCCGCGAACAGGTCGTCGAGCTCCGTGTTAAGCTGAGTTAGGTAGTGGGGCAGCTCCGACGGGGGGTTCTTTAGCACGACAAGACGTCGGCGCCGCTCCATCTCGAGCTCCTCGCGGCGGCTTGCTTTGGCGTCGAAAAATGCTTGCAACAGTCGGGCGTGGCCAACAGCATACTCGAGTTCACAAGCGCGGGTAGCCAGCTGCAACATGTCCGAGTTGTTTGGCGTCGATTCGTCGGGGACGCCGTCCACTGGTGGCTCAAGGACGTCCAACACTTCCCGCTCGAGTTGCGTATGTGCGGCGGCAAAGTGGAGCTCAAGGTCGTCCTTTTCTATCGATGGTGTCGATCGAGCGGACGTGGGGCTCGTCGTCGGAGTTGGAGGATGGAGCTGGCCACGTCGCTTGAGCGCTTCACGACTGGCGTCTTCGAACCGAGAGATGGACCGGCGGAGCACTTGGACTTCGTTCTTGTACACAGTTGTAAGCATGTGCACCTGCGTTTGCAGTTTGGACGCGTCTGGCGCGTCCACTACAACGTTGCGATCTAATTGAGTGATGAGCGTCTGGACGAGGCTCCGTCGGTTTTTGGCAAGAGCTTCGCACGCGTGAATGGCGCTGACGCGGAAGAGCATTTCAACGAGATGGTGCACAGAAGTTTCGAAGAGAATTGCAGCGAGCGCTCGAGAGGGTGGAGGAAGGCTCGGCGCAGCAGCAGCACATTGTGCCAACATGGTTCGCAGATCGGAATCTCCAGCGTCGTAGGTCGTGTGCAGAGTCAAAGGTGCACTGACTTCGACTTGAACATCACCGAGGGTCACGTTGTTCGGGTCTAATGGAGCGATCGAAGCTACGGCGCCGGTGAATGACACCGGAGCAGCGTGCTGGCCATGAAAGAAGTGCCGGAGAACACTGTCGGTTTGGGCACGGCGCAACGAGCCAACATGATGAGCCATCACGTAGCGGAAGGAATGCGACAATGAAGCGTAACGAGCGAGAGCGTGGTAATTTTAGTCTCGTTCTGCGTTGCTGCTATTTTTGGTTGGACGAACATGCGAACTGAGGACAACTTGGTATTTATTGGGTGGGTTGGCCGTAGAGTTCCAAAATGCGGTTCACGTCGCGCTTACAGCCCAAAAAGATGGGCGAACGTTGGTGGATCGACGTCTACGTCCACGTGTTGTGAGGTCAGAAGTCTACACAGTTGGTGCACGTACGGGGATCAAGTCCAACACGCGCTGGGTGCCCGTCGTCGAAATCCCGCCAGCTTGCTCCACGATGAACGACATCGGGTTCGCTTCGTACAGCAATCGGAGCTTGCCAGATTTGCTCTACAAGACAATTTGAATCCGTGGCAGAAGTCGTGAGAAGTCGAGTACCTTCTTGTCCGCGGGGTAGAAGAAGATGCCTCCATACAACAACGTGCGGTGTACGTCCGACACCATACTACCAACATAACGAGCCGAGTATGGCTTGGCGGCCGTCTTGCACTCGTGCACAAATTGCGTGGTTTGGGCATCCCACAAGGACAGGTTGCCTTCGTTGCACGAGTAAATCTGCACAGCATGAGACTACACACGTGGACAACAGGTTTAATGTGTACCGTCTTGGGGTTGGAGGGAATTTTGATGTTGGGATGCGACAGAATGAACGAGCCGATGGTCGGGTCCAAGGTGAAGCCGTGCACACCGTTGCCCCACGTTAACACCATTTGCGTCGAGCTACCGTACATGCAGTAGCCGGCCGCGACCAACGACTTGCCGGGTTGCAAAATGTCGCTCAGCCTGTCGTAGGGGGGAATTTAGACCCATCAGCGTGGGGAAAGCATCGAGATTACCCGCCGGTCGAACCGTTCTTTTCGTAGATGGCAAAGATCGTGCCCGTGGAGATGTTGCAATCAATATTGGACGAACCGTCAAGAGGATCAAAAGCGATGCAAAACTTGGCTACGATCACGAGGGTTGTGATTCGACAGCACTCGAGAAGATATCGAGACATACTGTCGCTCGAGGTGTTCACCCAGATCGGCTCTTCGTTTTCTTCCGACACCATGACTTCGATCTTGGTGGAGGTTTTAAGGGAGTTGATGAAGATGTCGTTGGCCAGAATGTCGAGTTTCTTCACTTCATCACCCGTGGCATTTTGGGAGCCGTCCAAGCCGTACAACCCAGTCAAACCTGCAGAAGAGGGTCAAGGTATCGCCTGTTCGCGGCATGTCAACTCCTACCGGCACGACGCACGGCGCTCGAAATGACCTTACAGGCCAATTCGATCGAGTTGAAGAGGATGCACAAGTCGTTGTTCTTCTGGATGGACTTGTCCGCAAGGACGAAGCGGCTGAGCGTGATCGGGTTCGAGTGGTCCACTTGCATGACGGCGAGGAAGTCTGGAAGTGTCCGATGGATGAATCCTGCTCTTGCTTAGGGATAGGTGTCCGAAAACGATCCAATCAAACTTCAACATTAGGCCAATCAAATCACGCCAAATTCCTCCCAACCTTATTTAGGGATGAGGCACTTAAATACCATAAATGTTATACTACGTAGTAGTATACAAATTTCAACTGCTCTTAGCGAGGTGGGCCATTGCCTCCGCTTCATCGGCCGTTCGACCATTGCGAGTGAATTGCGGTTTCATGGGCATGTGTGCCACCAACTTACGGATATGGATGCAGGGATAAGGCTAGCAACTTTCACTAGTAAGAGCACTCCAAGCCAGGGTAGAGCGCGGTGAGGGGTCATCGTGCTGTCGTCGCTGGTAGACTTGTGGATCCTGATTTGGAACGGCCATGGGATGTGGCACTTCAAGTGAGGTACAGCTTAAGTACTGTACCCGTACGTAACAAACGTTTGAACGGGAGTGGCGGCGGTTTGGAAGATATCAGTAACGAGGATAGCCTTGCTCGTGGCTCGGTAGCATTATCCAATATGACGGATTGGAGTCGGCGTCGTGCTCATGAAGGTGGTAGCTGGTAGCAGATTTTTTTCAAGGTGTTGGAATCTCAATAGCTTTCTGATGGATCAATGTCATGAAACGCATCTAAATTTTGGGGAGCATAGCGTCTAGCGTTTTTCGAGTCGGACAGCTATTACGAGTACAGCATCCATTTACACACAGTAAGTCAATACTACTAGTAGTAAGTAATACTAATAGTAATAGTATTCCTGAAGTTGGTATGGAGCAAAACAGATTTTTCACCTCGGGCAAATACAGCGCAACATTTTAAAAGTCCTCCCCAACCCATAATGTAAATTGTCGCTTTTATGCGCGCGCAATCGTTTGACACGGCATACGACAGTACGATGGATTCGTACTTACTGTTAAATCATGGAAGGTGACCAACGAGCTCTGGTGCAGCCACAACGTGAAGGCTAGGTGTTGAAGTATGGTCCTAAGAAGAAGCCGAAAAACTAATCATCATTGTATCCTTTGACTTCTACAGTACAGTCATCCACCGACTTTTGCACACAGGTGTACGCATAAAGTTTGTCAGGTATCGAATGAGACCAAAATATTCGATTAA